ATGAACTTCATTTCAAAATGATTTTGAAATCTTATTTTCAAATAATTACATGAAAAATATTTAGTTTTATGCTCATAATTTTTGAAAATTTTATTATCTATTTTTATAATATTTCATTTGAAAATTTTTTTATATTTTTTTTATATTTACTCTATACATGAGAAACAAAATTTATACGTTTGACAATTTTTCTTCTTAAGATTATTATTTGTGACTTTGAAGATGTTAACAAAGCTTTGTTTGTCAAATTTAAACTTATTTGTTTTAAATGTAAAAATCTAAATCATTCACAACTTTATATATTGATAGTTTATGTGATTAATTATTTGATATTTAGTTACTTACTTTGAATTTACAAAATGTAATACTATGAATTAAAGTAGTAGTTCATTCAAAGATAAAATATAATTTTGAAGATGAAACATAACTAGAATTATCACTTGCGTATATTTTACAATGTAAGAATAAGGATATAAAACTTCACCCCCGCCATCCATTCTAGTCCTAGTGGATTAATAACATGACGTATAACCCTAACAAGCCCATTGATTATTAAAGTGAAAACTATATATAATCCACAATGAGATAAGATTTCATTCCCATAATACATTCTATTGCTAGTGGATTAATGACATGACGTATAAACCTAACAAGCATACAGATTATTGACGTGACAAATATGGATAATTCACGATAATGTAACAATATCTTCATTTTAAATAACTTCTATTTAAATTTTTACCAACTAAAGATGGTTACACATAGTTAGCAAGATGTAATATTTTGTTAAAAACATTTTGCATGCAAAGATAAACACAAATTACTTGAAAATTAGCATGGCTTTGTAAGGATATTTGTTTTTTAAGATCATAAGCTTTAAAGATTGTCAATAAGCTTCTACATATATGATGATTTTACAATTGAAGTAAAACTTTTTCACCCTTATATAAAAAAAAATGATGGTATATATTGGAAACAAGAATGCCATTTATGTTCTTTAGATCTTTCTTATTCAATTTTTTTTAAATAAACCAAAAAAGATTGACATCCAAAACTCTTTCTTTCGCATGATTATCTTCAGGTTGAGACATTTATGTACTAAAAAATGATTGATGAATAGATATTTGAAATCTGTTTGATATAGCTGCAATGTTTTTGCTACATCTTTTGTCATGTAACCTATATTCTTACAATGATATAACTTAAGCCAAACTTTTAATTTTTCTATATCTTAATCAAACAAATGCATATAATTCTAGATTTTCAGATTAAAAAATTAATAAGATGCTCATATCTTGCAAGATGTATATTGGAAATGTCAATAGATGTGCATGAGTGTTTCATTAGTTGCAATATACATATATTTTTCAAACTTTGCAAAAACTTTTGTGTTACTAATGTAAAACCAGTAAATTTTTTATGTTGAATACACACCATTCAACATTAAAAAAAATCCTATTTCTAATATAAGATTTTCTTCTAAACTTTTACTCTACCAAGTGTTCGGTTATATTTATATGAGCTTATGAACATCAAGAATATGATCAAGATGAAAATAAGATTGATTGTATATCAACGATGTAGTTTCTTCATGAAGAGACAAAAAAGATGGAGATGGAAAGAAGCTTATTTTGATAAGTATAGTGTTTTATTTGAACATGTGATAAAATTGATGGCTTTGGTGCAAATGTTAGAATCCAATTGTGATGAAGATAAGAATCCTGCATTGGGCTTCAAAACTTTATCCATACCTCACCCGTTTTTAGTCTAATTTGACAGCAATGTAATATATCTTCGAGAGAGAGATGGGTGTTATGTTTGATCTCTGAAAAATCTTTTTCCATTTCAGCACTGAGAAATCACTCTCCACAGTGTTGCAGCGTTCGAAATTGGTCAAAATAATCCTCGGAAAAACTGCATGAGTTGAAGAAATCTATTCTTAATACTTGGAATCAAACTGATCAATCAACAGATTTTTGTGAACCGAGTACATCGACATAGTAATGTTCTAGTTTCACAAAAACCAAAATCTATTTGTGTTATTTCATTATTAATCCATGTACTTTTGTTCCCAAGAAAATTTGAAAGGTTCTTAATATTTTAGAACTAGTTGAATAAATTCTCTTGTTTTCAAAACTAAAAGTTATTGAGTTCTATTAGAATACTATTGAACTCATCAAATGTCACCACAAAGTTTTAGTTGAATGAATCCGTTACTTTCTTTAATAAAACCAACTAGATCAACAAAGAATTTGTCACAAATGGTGAACGAAAAATTATAGCAGACTGACTCCATTAGTTTCTCTAGTGAACCCACCTAGATAACAAATAATTTTTATTTTTAAATACGGTACATTCTGAAAACGAAATACGTCAATAGGACTCTCGAGTTCCGTATTTCCTTCCTGCCGAAGCCGGAAGAAATTCTCAAACCTTCTAGAAGCAGAAACACACTAACCTGTAAAACAGCTGTCACTCATCATTGGATCTCGTCTCTTGATGTAGAATACTCAGTATGCAATCAACGACCCTCTCTACTCTTGGAGATGAATGGAACTATAAACGAAAACTTATTTGTCAACAAGTGTAAAAGAGTGAAAAAAGGACGTGGGTCCACATGGATACGTGAGAGTGACTGTCCTATGTTGCAAAAGGTGAACTTTTTTTTCTTATCATATGTACAGTACTATTTCCGCCATCCCCGGCGTACAGTAGGTAGAATAATCGTCATGAATGCGGCTTTTGGAAAATACAGGGAGAATTATCTTCAACATGAATATTTTGAAATTGAGGTGTGGCTTTCGTTTTTAACCAACTATATATTTTAATATACAACAATTAATACTTAAAAAGGGGTGTTGTGGCGAGCACAATATTACCCTTGGGTTTCGTCCATGTGACTTGATGGCGGGTATGGCCTACTGGTTGCCATATTATCGACATGGATGCTCTCGACATCGATGGAGAAGAGAAACAGAATGGCAGGCACTCGAATACAGTTCTCTGAAGCGGCGCAAGACGTCGGACCTGGGTGCGCATGCAGCTGCATGGGCTCGATTCTGGCAGTGCCAATGTGACATCATTTACAGTTCTGACAGGCTCGCGCACCCATGGACTCGCTCGCTCCCAATGCCAAGCCCGGAACGATCGGACTCAATCCTGAGCATGCTACTGGGACCCATATTTAGCCCTCTAATGAATGAAGTACAGTACAGCACCGTACTGGCATTCGAGGCCGTGCTTTGTGGTGGCCGAGTCCAGAGGCGTAATTGCACCGTATGGGACACCAGTCTCGTACGTGCGGGCGCCTCGGCTCAGATATGGTGAAAAGAAATCTGAAGTGGCCTTGCTTTGTGATAAAAGTAATGGTCTCTACGGTACCACCTACGAGTACTATTTCTGGCAGCGTCCAAGGAGTCGGCAAAGGACAATTATCGAGTTCGAGCTCTGAATTATATGCATGGCCTGGGCTGCTCTCCTCGGCTTCTCATTCTCCGAGTTCGTTGGCGCCGATGTTCGTTGGATTCGAAGCTTTGCACATTTTCTAAGGCCGGCTCTTTGTGGTCGTCTGCAGATTAGAATAAATGTTTTTACAGAAAATAAAATCATCACCCAAGCCATTGCCTGCTGTACATACAAATGGAGAGGTATACCCACTGTAGAGGTGCTGACAGAATCTTGAGGTTGGAGCTTCGAACTTCGAGCTTCGAGCTTCGAAGATGGCTACGAATTTTCTATTAGCTAATTCAGTACAGGGTATGGTATGAGCAGGACCCACGGATGTTTTTTGTATTTGATGACACGCCATATTCTTTACGATGTTTTCTGATTAGTCAATCTGACTAAACAGAAAATCTCATTGAGCGTGGCGGCGATGCAGCTGTGAGTACTGTTCCGTGATCAAGCGTCACAGTCTATTACGCTTGATCACGGAACACTAGGATCACGACGATCTATGACTCACAGATCGTCGCCCAGATTCGTCTTCTTTGAGATGACGAATGGCTCAGGATTATATACGCGATCAAGTCTAAAGAGAAAGTGTCTCAGCTGCAATTTTAGGCTCAAGGTCTATGAATGGCGAGCTTCGTTATAGAAGTGTGAACGTTCCCCCCTTACAGACACCATCAACACTTCACGGCCCGATTCACGCCTATAAGGTACCCTTTTGACATTTTCTCAAAAGAGACAAGTTCCGATTCGAATAAAGAGTACTACTCTTTGAAGGAAAGTGCTCGACGGACTGTCTTTTAGGAAAAGTCCAATTTATATCATTCACTTTCTCCTTTGTGAGCGAATCTGAACCAGTCCGCGGTACATGCTATCATAATGCCTTTGGTTCATTTTTCCATGGCCAAGGAGAGGGAAAAAGGTCCAGATTCTGCAAGGAGCTCAAATTTCCCTGTAGAAATCAGGAGAGGTGAATTTTGATGGCAGTATGTATCAGCCACCTTCTTCTGGGCCTCGCCATTTCCCTCCACCCACACCAAATTTTACAATCTCATGGTGTGTAATATACTCCCAAATCTTGGTAGCGCTCGGCGTGATACACGAGAGAAATATTCTGAGCTGCCTGTAAAATTACATACGCCAAAGACAGAAAACAGTGCACGAAGTACGTCAAACCAGAGTGTGGTGACACTAAGATGACGCACTTACGATGATCTCAACTTCTTAAGCCTAGGAATTACCAGCGAAGTACGTGTGATTGGACGGGAAAATTGCACATCTCCACTAACACTGCGAGGATTGTCGTTCCTCTCACAGCCTCGTGTGCGGTGAAATACAGTACTTAGAGTACATACTGCACGTGTTAACTGTGCTGACTACCGGACACTTGAACACATTATTTAAATCAGCAAACGATCGAAAACGTGGACGATAGCGACACAATTTGATCAATTTCATGTGTTCCTCTCCCGATCAACAGTTGCAAGAGCTACAGAAAATAATCTTTCATGTTCCTTTGAGCCCGAGGGCGAGGATGCGCGTTTGCCATTAGGCTCATGCCTACAGGGTTCAAGCAGCAGCCTGCTCAGTCTCCAAGAATGTCTCGGGCCGCCCCTCCCAACTTTTGTTTCTTACTCAGAGAGAGTGGGGCTGCCAGTTTCTGATCGGGGACACGGGGAAAACAATACTCGAGTGACCACAGCAATAGATGTCCAACGTTGTGGGTTGGTAATCCGGGCCAGCGCCATTTCTCACTTTTTCCCTCAGATGAGGTGGAGCATCATGCATCAACGCGCTCGTGAGCTCCAACTCGTTTTCACAGCGTTGTCCAATTAGACGGACGAGGTGCTGCAAGATGTATCGACTGCTCGGCGTCTGTCATCTGGCTGCTTGCTTCGGGTGACCCGGTCTGAATCCGACTCCTCAGTCATGATCCTTTGCATTCAGACGGCAAGCATGAGCCTGACCAGTTCAGGACATGCGTTATGGCGAATAATCGAGGTCCCCAATTCTTGATCATCTTCTGCCGGGGCAATCTCTGATTCTGATTCTCTGCTTGTAGCCATGTTCTGCGCCTTCTTTGCGCGTGAGAAGTTACGATGTTGGCGTCCTGTTCGGATTCCTGTCCCATGAATGTCTCTAACCTTGCGTCGAGCAACTGTGCGTTGGCAGCTCGCCCTCGCCCTCGCCCTTTTCACCTCCTGTCTGCATGCATGGCTTCTTCATCTTCGTCGTCGATAGGTCTGATTCTGAAGAAATGGGTTGAGAGAAATCCTCTTCTCCCGACTTCCGACCCCGCTTCAGATTCCGATTCTTCATGGAAGGACGACGCCAGAGCAGAAATTCAAAGCCTGCTCTCAGAGGAGCTGGAGCGAGTGACAGACTTGCATCTCCAAGGACCGGAAGCGGCCGAGAGCGAAATTGAGGCGCTGGGGGTCGCCTTACAGCAGCGCCCCTTCCCAGGCATCCAACATCTGAGACTGTGCAATGGCAGGGTTGGTGTAAGAGCACTGGCGGAGCTGGGCCGAGCCATCGAAGTGGGCAATTTGGGCAATTTGAGACTTCTGGATTTGTCAGGAACTCGTCTCGATGATGATGGAGCCCGAGAGGTCGCTGGAATGCTGGCATCGGGAAACTTGTCATCTCTCACGAACCTGCATTTACTGCGCACCGATGTGGGAGACATGGGACTGGCCGCCATAGCGCAGGCTCTGAAATCAGGCGGAGTGTCGGATCTGAAATCTCTGAGCATCGGCTCCGGGAAGCAGAACCTCGTCCACCAGGGAACAGACGCTCTGGGCAAGTCGTTCCGCTCCATGCCACATCTCGAAGACTTGCAAATGCAGGGCATAGTGAACGAGCAGGCGGCCATATGCGTGGTGGACGCCCTGACGTCCGGCATGGTGGGACGGATCAAATCTCTCGAGCTCTCCTACTGCGGAATCGGATACCAGGGAGCCATGGCCATTGCCAATGGACTAGAGTCGCTGAATTTCGCCTCGTTGGAATGTCTGGACGTGTCCAACAATCTGGGCATGTGGATGGGCGACGAGGGCGTGGTCGCTCTGTCCAGAGCTCTGAAAACAATCTTCCTCTACAATTTGCGCAAGCTGGTGCTGAACAATGTGGCCATGGGCGAGAGAGGGCTGCTGGAGCTGGCGTCTGTCCTGGAGGCGGACGACCTGCCCGGGCTGCAAGAGCTCCATGTCCAGGACTCAGGCAACACGGAAACCAGCGCTCGAGCTCTCGTCAAGGCGTACCAAGCGAACCCGTTTCTGGTGGCGCAAATCTTCGTGGCATGGCCGGACCCGTCTTACAAAAACAACGCCGAGGGCTTCAGGAGGCAGAATCTGAAGCTGGTGCCGAGCTTGAAGGTGCTGATGGACGAGCCCAATGTGCCAGTCACTCGCGCCAGGATCTTCCTCTGCGGTCACCCGCGAGTGGGCAAGACGACGCTGAAGAAATCGCTGGCCCGCCCGCAAGGGCGCAAGCTGCCCAAGGCCCCGGTGTGCAGATGCGTGGCGCCCGGCCTTGAGGCCGACGAGCACGAGCATGAGCAGGCGTTCGAGATCGAGCTCTCGCGCCTCGTGCACAGGCACATGTTCCTCGGGGTGTGGGATCTGGCGGGGCAACCCGAGCTGCACATGCTGCACAGTCCGAGCCTGCCGCATCTGGCCTTCGCTGCAGGCGAGGCGACGCTGTTCGTGGTGGTGTGCAGTGCGAACTATGGGCCCGAGGCGACCGAGCGCGAGGCCAAGCGCGAGCTCGAGTACTGGCTGCGCTACATCTCGTCGAACTCCGTCAAGCGCAAGACGAAGGGCGACGGCAAGCGGCACCATGTGCTGCTGGTGCTGAACTCGTTCCATGGCCAGCACTCGTGCCACAGCCGCAGCAGCTGGGAGCACGAGCTGCGCCGCTGCCAGCGCGAGTTCGATGAGTTTCTCGACATCCACCACGCCCCGTTCATCGTCGACTTCCATAACCGCAAGGACACCAAATCGTTCAAGCACTCGCTGACCAAGAGGCTGCGCGAGTTTCTGCGCCTGAGCGAGCCCGTGCCGCAGATCTGCTCGCAGCTGCAGCAGCGCATCAGCCGATGGGCCAAGAAGCCCCAGCACCATCGATTCCCTGTGCTCCTCTGGCGCGAGTTTCGATCCAAGGTGCTCGGCTCCGTCTTCGACAATGTGTCCGAGAGCAATCTGGCGGCCGCCATGGACTATCTGCACGAGGCCGGGCAGGTGATCTTCTTCCGCGAGGACGTGCTGAAACATGGCGGCCTGCTCTGCGACGGGCTCGTCGTCCTCGACCCAGCCTTGTTCTGGGAGTCGATCCTCGGCCGCCGGCTGCTCGGGCTCGATTGCGCCCCGCTCAGGGCCAATGTGCATCCGAGCGGGGCGCTGCCCATCGACGTCCTGCACGAGCATTTGGCCGATCAGCTCTCGGACGCCGCTCACGTGCAGCAGGTCGTCGCCATGCTCATGCCTCTGGGCCTGGCCTACAGGTTCAGATCCGACATCGAGCACATCTTCATCCCGGCGCTAATCGAGCACGACAATGTGCCCCCGTACTGGGGCCCTGAGCCGAATTCGTCGAATTCGCACTGGATCATGGGCTTCGCCATGCAGGTGACCTCGAGTGGCACGACGCTGCTGCCCAACACGGTGTTCCGCAAGCTGCAGATGGAGCTGGCGCGCGAGCAGGACGAGTTCGGGGAGTTCAGCTCGAGTGAGTTTTGCGCCGGGAAGAACATCGTGGCCTTCCGCAATCCGGAGATGGCGGTGGCCGTGCAGTACAGCGGCGACCCTCTGAACCGAGTGGATGTTCTGACGAAGCCTCAAGCGCCCGACGATCAGGTGGACGAGAAGGAGCTGCAGGTGAATTTGGCGCAAGCCATCTCGGAGACCTTCGAGCGCATCGCCAACGAGACGTGCCCCGGGGTCGAATTCTCGCGGCGCGTGATCGAGCCCTGGAGCAGCAGCGAGGGGCTCAGCAGGGCCATGGACGACAGGAATGTGGCCGTGGCCGTGGAGGAATTGAAGGCGCTGCTGAAGAGCGGCGGAATCGGCGCTCGCACGAAGATGGCGGTCGGGCGCGAGCCCGTGTACGCCATGCCGCTGCTGTCCGGCAAGGACATCACCGATTTGAGGCTGTGCACGAAGGAGGAGTGCGCCGTGATCGAGCAGACGATTCTGCATCTGGAGCTGTTCGCGTTGTCCGTCGACCCGACCATCGCCATGCACGCCGCCTCGCTCAAGGCCAAGGCGGAGATGGTGCACACGACGCGCGAGGACGAGCACGAGCAGCAGCAGGACACGAAATCGTACACGCTGGAGAAATTCTTCTCTCGCCGAGTCGACGAGGCCATGCTCGACAGGGCCAAGGACAACATTCGGACCCAAGAGCCACGCCGAGCGTCGAATTTCTCGCCCGAGCAGATTCTGCAGAGGGAGTTCGATAATCGCAAGTCGCTGGGCAATCAGATCCAGACGTGCATCAGATTCTCCGTGGTGCAAGAGGACAGCTCGATGGCGAGGTTGTTGTTCCTGACGCATCAAGAGGACGGGAGCTCGGGCCAATGGATGAGGCTGGAGAATGCGCTTCTGCTCCGGCAGAATTGCAGGATCCACTTTCTGTGTGAAGACCACGCGTTGCACGAGGTCCGAGGCCAGGAAGGGTTCGAGCTCTCGCAGCTCAACGAGCTCGGGAACAAATTGGGACCATTATTAGAGTGGTCCTTGAAAATTGCGTTCGTGACATGCAAGATCGGCCGAACCGCAGTGCTTCCCGGGCTAGACCTGCTGCTCAGAGATGGGCGCATGGCCGGGAGCAAGCTCACGAGCACGGCGCAGCTGGCCAAGATCAGCTTTCTTTTGAAGAATTTCGCTTCAGCGGGCTCCAATGACATTCTGAAATCCAGAGTTCCTCTGAGCGAAATCGACCCGCGAGTATCGATGAGCAATGTTTGTTCAACCACCGCGCAAGAAGTGGCATCCGTCCGACACGAGGTATCAGCTGCCTTGCGAGTGCTCCTCGCCACCATGTCTCCCACCGAGCGCATGCAGAAATTGGGCCTCAGGCGCGTCATGCTCGCCAGTGCGCAGAAGTTGTGGATTTGTAGCGACTGTTATGCTAAATACGGCAGTCCTCCTGAAGTCTAGAGTGGAGCCGAGCATTTACAAGTTTTCCACGCGCCATTGGAGCTTATAAATATCCTTTCATCACATCAGAAGCACATAGGCACGTCAAGAGCCTTAATTCCTCTTGCAATTTCGGTTACTAGAGGCGTTTCTACACTTGTATAAATTCTGTTCAATTCCCATCTAGATTCTGTTTCAAACACAATTTTTAAAAGGAAACTTTAGACATTTTCTGTACAATATTGACGAGTAGTCTCATCAAGATACCGAAAAAAATGGGCAATGTTCAGGCCTGATTGATGTAGGCGATCGTATTCCGAGACGCCTTAACTACCTAAACTAGACAGAAGTCAAGGGTAGCATCGTGCATAGGGCGCATTTTACAAGGTGTAACACTGAAATTATTGAGCCTTCGTTGTTATAGACTGCAAGTGAGCTTTCATTCGAATAGTCGATCGGAGCCATAATTGAGTGAGTAAAAAGGCTGGACTAAAATTTTTGAGCTCTAACCTCGTTAAGCAATGGACTCCAAGTTGAGGGAAAGATGATGCTTTTTGCTGCAAGGAAACCATCTGCTTGAATTACCATCCTGAACTCTCTAGATATGTCTTAAGCCTGTAGATTTGCTCTTGAGTCTCCGACGAGAAACATTGACTGCGTTGCGTGTGAGATGAGAGCCGATAAAATCTGAATGCGAAAGCACAGGTCTCTTCCGAAAACTCTTTTCCTGATTCTCAAATGAACATTTGCACTGAAGAGATATGATGTGTGGCATTCAGTTCAGCAACCAATATGAAGTTGAGCCCTGTTTTGGCGACCGATTTAAACCTCAAGATAACTGTGTCAGCCTCCAGGTTACGGTGAATCGAGGAACAATTCTCTGAAAGCCTCAAAAGCAGTTGACCAACAAGTGTTCCAGAGTCTCTTGACCATGTCCCGGTTCACTATCAAACGCCTGCAAAGCCGTGGATCTCATCGATAAGGAGATGAATGGAACTTGTAACAATAGAACGGACTGCGGTCCGCTACTCCTCTTGAGGGGAGGGGAGAATATCCCTCCACAGTAGATGATGAACTCCTGATGAATTTAGATTTTTCAGAAGTAATGCCTCAAAGCAAGAGAAAGAGATTCCATTCCCCGCGTCGTCTTTGGGTTCTAATAGCCCGAAAATCAAAATTTTCAGGATGTTATTGAGCAATTCGAGCAGTGATTTGCACTGTAAATACTTGATTAAGCTCACATTCACACAGCGCCTACACCAATCCTAAACGAAGGTATCCTGGTGCGTCTAAATTAACCTAGTTTAGGTAATTTAGACGCCCGACTAAACTAAACAGTCCGGGTCAATGTTTCATCCTTCACCGAGATTTGAATCCGGGTCTCTTGGGTAACAACTGAATATACTAGCCAACTAAATTATAACAGAATATGCAATAGAATGTAATAGTTGTCAAAATACTACATGTTTTGATGTGTTTATCATTTATTCAAACGATAACCTACTCTAATTCATCGTTGGAGACCTGAAGGTACTATCTCATGATACTGTTACGAGCCAGAAATCTTGTCACCCGCATATATATGGTTAGAATGTATACCTAAGTTTGTGTTGTTCATTGTCCACTTTACGAGGTATGAATGTTTCCTCGTCTTGTAATTTTTGGTGAGAGTGCGATTTCTCCCTATCTATGGAGGCATCAGAGCATATTCAGCCTAGAGACGTATGCTCTTACAGTGATCCATGCGTCGCACTGCCTGCTTGGAAATCCCGGGGCCGAATCATGTCCGACACCAAGCGCTGCCCAGAGCATGACCACCGCCAGGCAATTGCCGAAAGAAGCGAGATGGAATTGCTTGGCGACTTATCCAGACCATGAGGTTCCTGTCGTCTTCCGCAAGAAGCTTTCGGACATTCCACCCGATTTCCTCACCTGAACATTGGCAGCAAACAACAGATAAGCTATGGCTGGCACCTCACGCTGCATGTGTTCTGTCAAGCTTACGTGCATGATGTGAAAGTTTATATACAACGGAACAGATCACTAAAATTGGTTGCATTATGCAAATTCACTGGCAGATGACTGACTTAGCTCGAATGAGTTTTAACATTCGACGCCACAGCCAATGCTAACGAGAAGAGGTAAACGAGAATCTTCCGTTCAGAATTCATTGCACATGCGCTGAGACGATAGCAAGCAATGTGAACTTTTGGTGAACATGAAACACCACAAGCGTTCTTCTTCAACATGTCCGAGAGGAGTTCATGAAATGAAAAGACTTCACTTAGACTCTTTTCACAAATTATTATCAGATGAATACACAGGACAGAAAGTATGGACCTATCATCATCCAAGTATTTGCGTTCCTAAACTTGCAGTCCCTGATTGTGAATTGTGTGTGTGTGCTCGCCCGCTGTAATGGCCTCCATGATACACGAGGTCGTTGCGCACCAAGAATTTGAAGCCATGAGCAGTCGTAGTGTCATATGGCCTCGTCCATGTATCGCAGGATCTAATCGATCCAGGCTTTCTTCGAGTTTCGCTATGCTATGCTATATAATACATGCGTATATCTATCTTTCGATAGTGCACTCTTCGAACCTACGTGTTCTCGTTATGTACATATATGATCTCAAATCTGAACTTCCTCCCCAGAGTGCATGCAGTGGAGACGAGAATGCTTTCGACAGCCAGAACCTGGTGCTTAGATTTTCCTACACGCGTGGCAAACGGGACACACATCCTCGTCATGGACATGCGGAGTGAAGGGGGCGGGCCTGGCAACAGGACGACGATCCTTCTCGCTGGAAACGACAGCAGAAACAACATCGTTCGTCTTCTTCAAGGATTCCCCTCTGCCCTGCTCTGCTCCAGAACCTGCCGTCTTGCTGTCGGGCTCGATGGCAGAGTCCAGGTGGTACCACGTGGGGATGAGCACGATGGTGGAGGCGAAAAAAGGAATCGGCCCGAAGAGCCACAGAAGCAGAGGGACGGTCATGTAGAAGGCCCTCGTGCCGATGGTGTGGAAATTCGCTGCTCTCTCCAGAACGTCGGCCACATACTCAGGCGTCACGGACTTGTCCGGAAGGTTGATGTTGAAATTGACGTGATTCGTGTATCGGACAGACTGCACGTAGCACAGGAATGCGCTGAGAAATCCCGACAGCAGCGCCATGTACTTGACCCCCAACGACACCGCCGACTGCGACCCCAGCACCGACGAGCCGATTCGCTGCTTCACATCATACGAGCTGGCCAGAAACGCTGCCACTGCCGAGCTCAACAGGATGGCCGTCGTCGCCAGCAGCGTCGAGCCCATGATACTGTTTCGCAGCGTCTGCACTGCCAGAATATTCCTCTTCTCATTGTCCTGCTCACAGCCGATTGCAAGGTCGAGGTCAAGGTCAAGGACATGCACGAAGCCCCGAGAATTTTTTGCATTCAACAGATTTCGAGCCAGAGGAAAGATGCAAAGACAGTCAGAGCGGATAGCAAACTCTCAGGTCCCAAATCTGGAAATCGGAGAGAAATTCTCAAGACAAATTCTAAATATTTCGCCGCCAGTAGATATGGATATATGTGATTACATCCTCGGCGGGAGAAGGATGTAGAGATTTGGGCAGGAAAGAAGCTTTCGTGTGACATGTCTCGGGAGATTGAACCCAAATTCGACCCCAAATTGTGGGAACAAGCCCACCAGAACAAATGCGCATGGCTAACTGGAGCCATGTTGACGAACATTGTGATACCAAAGGAAGATAAACTGAACTAGAGGTTTTTTAAGAGAGCCGGATTGAGTCACAGAGCCCTGTGCTCGAACTTCCATGGTGTTGTCTGCGAGATGTCTGTGAGAAACGCTTACTTGTATGATAGAGCGGACCCACGCTCGTCTGGCTCGGTTGTTCACTCCCATGACGGTGGTCATCGGGCTGCGCGTAATGCGAATGTACAGATGGACATTGTAGGCGACCATCATGAGAAACGCGATGGGCGAAAGTGTCAGATCGAGGTAATATGCATTCCAAGCCATTTGTTTACCCTTCAATTCGCCCTCGACAGCTTTATCGAATAATTGTGTTCTATTCTATCAGCTCGCTCTTCCTCGTTTCCCCGAATGTGCCACACCCTCCCTTCTTCTTCTGATCGAGCGGACCAGAATCAGACGAGCTCAATTGTCACTACTGTCAGACCCACCCCACTGAAGTTCCACCGCCAACTTCTTAAACCTCGTCTTGTCGATGAATTTTGTTCTAAACCCTGTCGGGCAAAATATCCATGAAGAATCAGTGACGCTGTCTCACTTTCTTCAGCAGTCACTGCTGTGTCTCCTCCTCGTCTCCGACGCCAATCGCAAGCACGGCAAGGGCGCAATAGCTGATTGCTCGATCGGCTTCGAAGACACCTGGGGATTTGGATTTATGCTTGACGCATACAAGACGAGCACCCACCTCTGGACCGGAGAGAATGGATGAGGTCCTGTATCTCTCAAGTGGTTCGATCACTGGGGATTCGATTCGAGACTCGAGGCACGCATGGGCCTTTTCTAGGAAACCCTCGAGCTCGGGCATATGGGGCATGAGACCCTAGCAGAAAGGGAAGCGTTGCGTTGCCCGGCCGCTTGCAGCTTCCCTTCCTGGCCAGCTTCCCAGCCTGCGCAAGAGAGCAGTGAGGGAGGATGAATGGCTGCAGTGCAGAGGAAGCTGCTTAAATTGCAGGAGCCACAGATTCTAAAGATGGCATCGCACCCACCCCCGAGGCACCGGCAGCATCATCGTCGTGTCTGAAGAGGATGGGGCGGGGCGGGCATCTTTGCTCGCGCTCGAGTAGCCTCAGCAGAAAATTCGTCCGATCATAAACCCCTGGACTTCATTCCCTCGGCTCCTGTCACTATCGATGTGTCGTGCCCGGGCCCGGAGATTGCTCATGGCCAGTCCGAATTTGGGCCGGAATGAAGGTTCATGCCCGGCTGCTGCACTGTTGGCATGACATGGTGGCCTCGATCCATCTCTCTAATTCTCTCGGCGCAGAAATTACCGCCGCGCTCCTCTCTGCCTCTCCGCAGCTCCGCTGCCTCCGTCCCTGGCCCACAAAATGCACCACTACCTGCCTCAGCCTTGGTCTCTTGGCTCCATGGCTCCATGGCGCTTCGCACTCGCCCACCCTCCGACAGCCAAGCCTCGCTGGAATTCCACCGCCGTAATCTCGCTCGGCCATCTTCCAATTCTGCGTCTCCAGACATCAAGCCGCCGCCCACCGGGGCCAGACTTTCAGTGCTGCTGCTCGAGCCAGTCATGACTTGCAGGCTACGTCTCGAATTCTGCTGCCTTCGGGCCCCATCGCCAGCATTTGGACCGGGTCGTCTTTCCGTCCTCCCGTCTCCTGAACTCCGAGCCCATCAATCTGATCCAGTGTTTCAGTTGACGCTGTCGTTTGGGAATCCAATTAACAATTGGAGCTCGGATTGCGCACTCTTGAGTATCGGACTCCATTGACTTCAACTGAGCGTTTGGGCCCTGCCCCTGCCCCTGCCCCTGCCCGAGCACTTCCATTGCTGCTGCCGCATGTACCTCACGGCGATTCATGGCGTCACGGGTGACGTCAGTGGTCGAGCTCCAGAGGCTCTGGTCACAATGGAAGAAATCGTATCTTCTCCGACGTGAAGCAGACATGAGCTGCAAGGGTCGGAGACTCGTCGGCTGCCGGCCTTCAAAGCAAAATATCTGTCGTTCGGATCCTCCGAACGATGATATTCATTTCAACCGCTACGACCTCGATCGGTTGGGATGATCGACGATACCATCGATGAAAAATCGTACCATCCGGGAATATGTTCGATGTGGCTGGAATGGGGATAGTGTGCTCGGCCCCTCGATGAAAGCATTTACGCTAACTTTGATTCAAAGTCGTAGCGATTGTCAGTGGGGGAATTCAACTCCCTTGCCAAATTAAAATACCTTTTTCTTTACTCCTGAAAAATCTGGCGCCAATTGAGTATGCCGGCATGGGCAGAATATGAACCTCCACTGAATGTCCACCATGACAGCAACTCGGACTGTCAAACGAGTATCAAAATACAAATGACAAACGACAAACTTCAGAAGTGTGCAAAAGCACACGTAGAACGATACATTCTCAACTGAATTCAGTGCTAGTTCATCAAGCAATGGTCCCGGAAGTCATGGGACAATTGGCAGAAAGAGAACTGAAACAAAATTCACGTAACAGAAGATGCTAAGATGGGATGTATAATCATTCTCCTGGCTGACGTTTCAGGTCGCATTCTCCTGAGCATTCTGAGCCGGCACAAACGTGAATCAGATGGTCAGTGTGAGATCATTCGATGAGTCCAGTTGATCACATCTCATATTCTCTCGGCCTTGGATCTCGTACATCGTAACCACAATCATCCGTTTTCCATTTTTTATGATCACATGGCCCAATTTCTCAACCCCTTGGATTTCTTCTCCAGTTGCAGATTTGCCCGACCTACGTGTCCGACATCACAATTATCTCGATTCCTCCGGTGCTTGTAGCCTGTACACAAAAGTCTGAGCAGGCTGTAAATGATTGCAACGACATATCAACCAACGCACAAAGTCTACTGAACATTCACGTCACCAGGTACCAACCAAATTGAAGCTCAGGCGGCTGAGCTCTGGAGCTAGCCAGCCTCAAACATGAGCTGACATAGTTGTGAGCTACTGAAATCGGAAGGATAGACAACACTCTGTTCCGCCTTGCGGCAACGTGTTGCTTATCTCCGGAGGAATTCATTAGTTCTAAGGAGAAACCAGGAACATGATTCTCATGACAAGCGCAGTTGGAAGCTACTGCTGGACCCCGAAATATTCGAGCTAGATTACGAGCTTGAGAAATCGAGATCAGGCAATAAGTAATCCCGGTGCAGATACAGGTTATCTGGCAGACGGTAGTAATCGTGCATTTTGACAATCCGATATAAAAAAATGTCTCCTCCAACATTTAGCCCCGTCATCTTGAGCTTCACGTTCAGAATGGTTGGACAGAAATCCTCAACCTCACTTGCTCGACGTTCCGCTTAACAGACAACTCCATAAAAGGACGAAGCTTACAGCGTGGACTTCGACCTCCACCTCCACCTGCAGCTCACATCAAGTATTAAGAAAATACCAATGCTTCGGAATCATATCCAGTAGTGCGCTAAGTTGCATTGTATGTTGCTTCGACCAAATTGGTCGCATACCTTGGCCAAAGCCTTCTACAAGAACAAGAATGTAATGATTTTACTGAAACTTTTCGAGGCCTGCTCCCAAACATTGCTGTCCTCGTACTCTCGGCTGCGAACTCCAAGACCTGGAGAAACTTCAGCTTCCCGACTCCTGTTAGTCCTCTCTGCATTGCTCGAGAGTAGAGCCATGATTACAGCTTCAGTTTCTAAGACTCCTTGCAGAGTGCAGAGCTCAAATGCCAATCAAGGTGGGAAAGCACAGGGTTATCTGCACCTGGACTGAATTCTGTCCAAAGGAGCGATCGCAGTGAGGTATGCAGGTTTTACTCTTCCCCAGTCCATTCTGGGTCAACGATGAACCTGGCCACAATTATGACCCCATACACTCGTGTATCTGCATCCATGTGATGGGATCTAATCATTCCAATCATGCAAGCTTGATTGGCTAGGAATGCTAAAATGGTTGAACACAGATACCAACTTGTGTAGATAAAGTATTGGGGAACAAATCTCAAACTTCATCAATCCTACATGAATGAAATCCTACAGCAAACACGGACCCACAGTGGTCACCTGATTCATCGGGGACAGTTCTGAAGAAATTATTTCCATGACAACCATTAGGGATTTTCAGCAAACATCTTCTTCTTCAAGACTCCTATAACTGTATCACAGTTATTGATCTGCTTTATTTGGTCCATCGGGGACCTGCAGGTGGATGATAGATATCCCATCGATACAGTGTCGTGGGAAGGCAAAATAGCAAAAACATGTCCAATTTGAGTAGGCGAAAGGGGCTAGAAAGGAGGACAAGGATTCCCAAGTCCGTTGGTTATGACATAGGCACTGCTTTCAGCAAAGTGTGTAAATTGCATTTCAGTGCATAATCGTTGAACGAAGTGGCGGGTCTCCATCTTCCGCCATTGTGCATCGTCATCATTGACACATGTGGATGGATGCATTTCTGAGGGTTCTGACAATCTTGTTTCTTGGCTGCTGCGTTAAGGAAGAGACTTTGTAACAGTATCTGCAAAGGGAATCATAGAACTGTCAACTTTCTGAATCACAATCGCATTGTGTTTAGCCTCGAGAGGGGCAGCCATAACATGTATGACTACACGTACATGCGCATGTTCCGGCACTTGATTCCTTGCTGATCAACAACGCAAGTGCAAATGCACATCACAAGTCATCACCAATTCTTGCCAATAATTCCGCATTACAAAAACTTTCTCCCATTTTGGTATGATCTAAGTTAGCACCTTCAGCGCTATGAGCGTTGGCCTACTCATTGATTGTCCTGGTCGAAATCGAGTATGCAAGTAAATGAAATCACCGACTTAAAATTTACAAACTGAAAGTTGAGATCTACCTCCCCCGATGGTACCATAATACATGGAAACTATACACTGAACATTAATCGTTGTCTCAAGTGTGAGGGAAATTTTTATAGAGTAACGCACTTTGAAACACATCAAAAATGCAAATGTGTCCACTTCAGTTAGCTATTGAAAAATAAAAATTAAAAATTAATGTTGGCTCTTTACAATATTATTAAACGTAAGAAAGGAGTGCATCCTGTAAATGAGTCGGCTAAATTGATAACCAATATGGCCAAAATAACCGAATGGTAAAGACTGGTTAAAAATGGTAAATGGTAAAAACATACAAATAAGTCTTTCTTATCACTCCACTCTTCGATTAACTTTCTGTTCTCTAACCAAAACTTCAAGATGATCTTATGGAGTATTTTAATTATCAATGATTCTCTTACCACAAATAGCCTCAAATGCAGCTAAATAGAAATACATACAAAAGAAAAACGTAGAAACCGAATTGATTAGGAAATGTCATCAACTCAATCATTATTCCTCCATGATCAAAAAATATAGGTGGTCTCATATATCTGCATTTTTTGGAATTTGCCATGTATTTTGTCTGCGAAGGAGACAACATGGCTCATTATTTAGAATAACTTCTGGATGGCGAAAGACGTTCTAGATACTGAACTTCTGGATCCCAAAGATACTCCCATACTGACCTAGACTTTTAATCCAGGCTTGCACCAAGTAGACTTGGGAACAATTGATCTTGGTGATTGATGATGTTCAACACTTTTCTTATCTCTGTCGTTAGCTCCTTCCGTGGTCGTTCCCATTCCCATGGCATAGTCTGTTCTTCCATACACATCGATGTTTCCCTGTGCGCTCAAAGCAGCATGATCGTCTGTTGGTGCCCATAGCATGACAAACACTATGTGCTTGCTTCCCATCGGTGTTTTTGTGCTGGATACTCCGTCCTTTTTACCTCAGTTCTGAAATTTACTCGGTCCTTTATATCCTCGGGTATGAGTTCAATCACGTACCACCGAGAATTAATGACTGTACTCTCTCCCTGTTTACGGGTTCAGACATTCTCGTCCCACTCTACGAATTTATATCAGCTTAGATCAGCGTACACAGTGCACAGTAAGGAAGTAACACTGCTATTTTCTTAAGCAGGCACTGGCAGTTTCGGCGGAATCTTCATTGTATCGTTGGGATCCGAAGGGTCCCTACCCCTTTCTTCTACTCCCTCGCACGCAATGGTACTCTCAAGCTATTCCTAGTCCGAAGCCTGACAATCTGTATCTATTTCAATGGGGCTGGGAGCTGGTTTGCTGACTGCTTCACATCTTCTACCTTGCTTTGTTTTTGAGATGCTTGCATATATGTTCAACAGTCGACGAAGTCCAAATTTCATTTATGGACTGCAAAGATTCTTCTTGCAATCAAGCCTTCTTTGAAAATGACTTCAGACGAATACCAAAAAACCTCGTTGGCCGACTGACCACTCGACTCCCAGATAAACCCAATCTCTCCTCAAATGTTCTTGTAGCAAAGACAACTTCGTCGGGACACTCTCCTCCTCGATTCATAATGAAACCGACACACGATACGAGCTGCCCTCGACAATCGTGCATCAACATTAGAACCTTGGGGATAGAAGACTTTCATATCAGAGCAGTAAATTTCGGCTCAATCCAATCCACAACTCTGCCATTAAGCAAACGGCACCCTCGTACCAGCTGCTTACAAGCACTTCATTCTCGTTTGTCGGAGAATGAGTCCCTTCGAACCACCCTTTCCTCCCATTGTCCTGATAGGAGGATTCTCGTGTTGTAGAATCACAAATCTGCCGGATCGAATGCTTCCAGTTTTGACCACGTGGTATGAACTGTATGTAGCACAGAGCTGTGTGTCTAGATAGGATGTTCGTCGCAGCGAAGGACACATTGTGAAATCGAGTTTTACTCCGCTCGATATTCGTTGCTTTCTGTCCTTCCATCGAAGATCGGTTGAAGACCAAGTATTTGCGGGTATAATGATCCAGAGGTCTGGATAGGGGAGAACATCTACTATATCCGCTGAATCTTACGACCGAGTTCAGAGGCCAGAGAGAGCCTCTTTTACCTGCAATTTTCCCGCTTTTCGGTTCGTTCTGGCCCACTCTTCGTATAATATTATCATTGCAGGGCATTTGAGTTTTTACGCCATATGTTGAAGGTCCTGCTCCAACTGACCGATTCTTATCATGCCAGCAGAGGGTTTGTGGCTGGGAGGTTCTGCGGCGGACAATCCCGACAAAAGCTGCAGGGGGGGGGGCCGTTGTTGGCAGGCGGGTTTTCGAGGGTGCATTCAACGTATCCAGCTGCTTGTCGATAGCATTTGGAGCGTGCCCACACATTGTCGGTGATCGTGGATGGATACTCGAGAGAATGCAAGCGAGACACACTCGAGATTCTTCACAATTTGCCAGGCAGTGGAACGAGGACATGAATGCATGGATGACAGCCTCCTTTGAGAAAATTCTACTTCCTTGATGACCAACTGATGCCTTTCAATTCGGGTCCACATCTGAAGTGTAATCTACTGCAGACATGAAGTACAGTTCTATCTACAACTTCATATCAGAGTTCGAATTGAGAGCCCTATTTTTACACCCAATTGAACGTCTAATCTACTTTACGCCGAGCCTGCAGAATTGGAGCCAAGCACGAAATATTTAGTCTGTGGCACCGAGTGTTCCGCTCCAAAAGAAAGAAACTCCTGAACCCGAGGTGACACCGCATCGAGCTCAAGCAACAAGCGGCGAATTCGACAGCGTTGAGCTTCAGCCACACGGATTCAGGGAGGGATATAACGCTGCGCAACAAATGCTGCGTCGACACGGTGTGTCCCTCGGAGAAACACAGGACGGGAGAGAATGCTTTGGGCCTCCTTCAAGGTTTCTTGTAGTATGTGGTGGGCACGAAAGGCATTTTGGTGATGGCACCGGCGCTCGTCCTGCCCCTCACGACGACCTGAATGGGTGTGCCAGCCTTATGGTTTCCGGTCTCGACATAACCCATTGCAATGTTCTTCTTCAAACACGGACTGTACCCTCCGCTGGTGACCTCTCCGATGACCTTACCACTGGCATCCAAGATCTCGGCGTGGCTCCTCGCTGGAGCTCCGCCTGCAGAAAGACCCACCCTGCGCTTCGTCGGCCCATCCTTCAGCTGTTGGAGGATAACCTGAGCTCCGGGGAAATTGGCCTCAGCTCGTCTTCTCTTTCCGATGGTCCAGGCCAGACCGGCCTCGATGGGCGTAATGTGCTGCTCGAGGTCGTTCCCGTACAAGCAGAGACCGGCCTCTAATCTCAAACTATCCCTGGCTCCCAGTCCAGTCATCCGGATTTGGCCATCGCTCTTCTCCAGGAAGGCTTTGGTCAGATCCACAGCGTTCTCGTGGGGGACGGAGATCTCGAAACCGTCTTCGCCCGTGTATCCGGTCCTGGTGACGTAGCACGCGGCGCCATTGACATCGAGGAATTTGAAGTCGGCGAAGTAGATTTGGCTGACATCGGCATTGGTGAGCTTCTGCAGAGTGGGGGCAGCCAGGGGCCCCTGGATGGCCAGCAAAGAGCGCTCGTCGTGAATGTGCCATCCGACGTCCTTGCCCTTCTGCTGGAAAGGCTTGAGGTGGTTCTCCATGTGCTCCAAATCCTTATCACGGCATCCGGCATTGACGACCATGTAGATGTGCTCGTCCGTGACCTTGGTGATGACAGTGTCGTCGATCACTCCGCCCTTGTCATTGGTGAAGACCGACAGAGTTCCGGTGCCATTGGGCAGCGAGGCGATGTCCGCCACGACCAGCGACTCCAGGAAGGGAATGGCATCCTTGCCCTTGAGGCTCAATCCGCACATGTGAGACACATCGAAAAGGCTCCCGTGGCTTCGGCAATTGGTGGTGGAGTCCATAATGCTGTCCTTGTACTGGATGGGCATGCTCCAGCCCGCGAAGGGCACCATTTTGCCCCCATTCTCGACGTGGAAGTCATACAGGACCGTCTTCTTCAATGTCGACTGATCGGCATACCCGCGGCGTTGGAGCTGGGGCGCCACGGCGCGCTCGGCGAGCTGCTTCGCCGACGCCGCCCATTGACATGTCGCCCGCCTCATCATGCTGGCCCCCTCTTCTCGTCGCGCCTCTCCGCTCGCCTCCCTTCCCTTCCGTTCTTCTAATCTGCAGCTCGACACAATGCCGATGCTGCTGCTTCCCAGATGTACTATGCGAGCAACGAGCCAGAGGCGCAGCACCACCACAAGAACTACCCTTCCCCGCACATTATCCTCTAACCCACCACCATTCGACCCATTCCCGTCCCTCATTCATGCCCATCAGCCTCGGACGCGGCCAAAAATGTAAACCCGCAATAGAAAAAAGCGTTATCTGCTGGAGATGCGGGGTATCGATCCCCGTGCCTCTCGCATGCTAAGCGAGCGCTCTACCATCTGAGCTACATCCCCTTTGATTTTAAAGTGGGAAAAATCATATCCTATTATAAAAAGTAAAGTCTCTATCATTCAAATCCTTCTGTCTCTCCTTTCCTCCCATGCACTTCGCAAGCGGGACCTAAAGGAGCGTAGATTAGACTCCAGTTCATTCATTCCCATGGACCATACAACAAAGCTTTTGGCGACGGGACGTATCATGGATCTAGAATATTTCGACATTCATTGAGTTCGGGCATCCATACACGACACGGAGGTTTCTTACTCGCGTTGGACCGAGTTGAGAACTTCAACTGTAAAGTAGAACACGGTTCACGTTGCTAAGCTTAGCTACAAGATCTATCTTTCTCACCTCCCTAACTCCTACAAATAGTTTAACCTTGAGTGCGGAAACAGGGAGACAGACGTCTGATTCAGGGAAGCAACTTATCATTCAGTGTTTGTCTCGGCGACAGTGTTTACTTTCCTTAAGACCAATTTACATCTCTTCGTTCTCTATTTCTACCTCCAGGTCTCGAGGTCAAATTTTCCCTACAAACTGCAACTGAGAAGCAATACGAACCACATGTTGATGGATCCTGGCATTCAGCCTACTGTACCTTATCGTATAGAGGCTCGATCCAAAGTCATGGCACATACATGTATTTGTCATCGCCTGAGAATGACAAAGTTAAGTGCCACTAGGTCCAGATTCACTGGTGGGCGAAGAAGGTACAGTGGAGGTCTCCGAGACTGAGGCTGAAGGTGCTGAAGGTGCTGCCCCCGGCGGCAAGTCAGGAAGCTGTGCGGGTGCATCCTCTGGAGAAACAGCCACGGCTGCATTCACTTTCTCGTAGTCTTCTTTCTTACGGTGAAGGATGTCTTCGAGTTTTCCCAGCAGCCTCTTGAATTGTTCCCGTTCTATGGACACAACTTTGCATTTCGTCAGTGCGGTAATTGTAGCGGCACGAGGGGCATCATTGAGCAGTGCAAGCTCCCCAAAGTAGTCTCCTCGCTTATATTTCATGACAACCTTGCCCTGTGATCGAGCCTCGGCTTCCCCTTCCTCGAGCACGAAAAATTTGTCGCCTTTTGCACCTTCGACGATTATTACTTGTTGAGGATTGAAGTATTCCGGCTGTAAAACATCGGCAATGGCTGATCTCTCGTACTTGTCCAGGGATTTGAGAAGAGGAACTTCCTTCAAGAATTCTTCATATAAATTTCTCTTCTCCTGTGTTGAGGTCATCAAAATGGCACGGAACGTATTTCTATCCACTGCCCACAGCACACAATCCGTGGTCGCCTTTACAGTAGCGGCCCTTGGTGCATTGTACAAAAGAGCGAGCTCTCCAAAACTGTCTCCGGCAGTATACTGCTTCACCATTATGGGTTTTGTCTCTCCCTCCTTCGTTATCCACACTTCGGCGGCTCCTTGCTCTAGAAGGTAAAAGTATTCTCCTGGTTCTCCTTGCTGGATAATAATGTCGTTTTCTTTGAATCGTACCTCTTCAACCGCTTCGACCACCGTCTCCGTTTGCTCCTTATCAAGATGTTCAAGCAGATAGCTCTTCAAAAAACAGGCACGAATCCGCTTTTTGGCTTCTTCACTCTTCTCGACTATTTTCTTCTCAAACTTCTCGTCGCCGGTGAAAACTTCTGCACTCACACCTGTCCGACGAATTGACATAGTCTTGCTCCTATCTCTCTGTCTGATTATTTGAATGTTTTTGTCTATAGGACCACCTGCAAGACTCTTGGCTTTCGCCTTCAATTTCATATCCGCAACACCCATAGAGATGTCACGACCGCCACCAGACGACCCCATCGCTGGATCCCTTTTCTGAAAAAATAGATCTAGAATCTTCACGCAAATTTGACAGCCACCTCACTCGAACTTCGATTGTTACGTTGTCAGTTTCTTGGATGTGGTATAAATTGACGAAGAAAGAGGGTTCAATCTACATGCAACCCCAGAATGAAATCCACTTGCACAACTATATAGCGTAGACACGACTCACCCCTTCCGAATTCGAACCTCTTGGCTTCAACGGGATCCGATTTATCAGGATATCGGACATAAATCGCCAAACAGATGCTAGCAAAAGAGATCTAGACGGATCCGTTCAGCTATAGCTAAACGGTTGAAAAGGTCCGACATCAACAAACCCGTGATCGCCTGGAAGTGGAAAATCACTTCAAAGGTTGACAGTAATCGTGCACAAATTGCACGACATGCACAGGCTCGGGGACGTGATGCGGACCAGCACTATTGGACTTGGTGTCAGCCTACTTCCATCCTCCCGCTTTACAAACATACTTTGCTAATCAGATGAAATTAAGACCGAGAATCGTTTCCTAGTCATGGGTGGAAAAGAACTTAATCTATCCAGAAACAAATCTCCGCCAAAGACTTCCTGGAACGAGAACCCATCGAGGAATTGCCTCGTACGTGTAAGTAGTAAATTCAACTCGAGCATTGGCATAGGGATCTGTTCTTAACAAAGTGGTGGGACGAATCAGTCTCACTAACGTGCTCTAGAAATGGCTAGGTTGTTATTGCGAAATGCAAAGTCAAGTTGACTCATTCTTCCGGCAAAGATCTTAAATAATTAAACTTAAATTTCGCAAAATTGATGCGTTCGTGTAGTTTCCACTTTCTCTGCACAATGCTTTGCAATGCTAGCACAGAGACCAGTATGTATGTTGTTTCCCTATAATTCGTGAAGTGGAAATTTACGTACCGCGTGATCTGGTCATAGAACCGATCTGAAGATGGAAGTGAAATGATAAAGCACAAAAGTAACATACCAGCCTCTTCCGACGAAAAGGGCGATTCACATAATGACGAGTCGTTATAGAGGGAAACATATATATACTTAAGCATTATAAAGTGATGAAGGATCAAGTCAGGGGAAGTCTCGATAGAATACACCAGTATCAGACCTTCAGGTTTTCGCGACCAGTGATGATGCGTTAATAATCGATCATGCCATCTGGTAGAGATCAAGGCCACGATGATGAAGAGACCGCAAACCCGGCAGTCAGAGTCAATATTCATGGAGACAAGAGCATTGACCCAACTGCACTTGCCAGCGAAAGTATTCTTGCCAAGAGTGGAGGACGCATTGCGAGATGGTTCCGATTACGATCTTCTTTGCTCTCCACAGTACCTTTAATTCCCGAAATAGAAGGATCAACTAAATACAATTTCAATGGAGAGGAGCGCTTTACCTACAACTATGAAACACGGGATACAACAGCCACTACTAGTTCAAGACCTAAGACGAAGAAGAAGCCCAAGGTTCAGAAGACTAGAGATAATTCAAAGCGAAGGCAAAGTGCCTTAGCTTCTGGACCATCAAGCAGCACCGATGAATATAATCAATCCGTAGATCGGACCAAGAGGCGGGCATCGACCCCTACATCCAGACGACTTGCAGAACCACCAGACACGGACGAAGGTTCGAAGCCCACGGCTCTCCAAAGGTTACCGGCATTAGAAACACAAGAACAAAACGAACGCATAAAGAAGCTCAGAGATGAGATGGCAGAAAGATTGGAGCAAATCAGAGATATAAAAAAAATACAAGTGAAGAACAAGGTGGAGGAAAAGCTTGCATCTGAGATAGTCGAGAAAGAAAAAGAACATGAGAAGCATTTGGAAGCTCTCAGGGTAACGATAAGGCAGGAGTTGGAAGAGTATCGATTGAAACCGCTGAAAGAAAAGCTCAAATCCGAACTCGATGAACGTATGAAATCCAAAGAAGCCCAGAGTAAAAGCGATCTAGAAGATGTGAGGTCCAAAATTCGAGCAGACTATGCCAGCCAAGCCAAAGCGCTGATGCAAGAATTGGAGAAAAAATCACAAAGAGAATTGAAGCCTTTGTTGGTAGAAGCCAGGAACAGAGTACGACAAGAGGCAGCGGAAGAAGAGCAGCGCTTGGAAGCTTTCGTCAACGCTCAAGTAGCTCACGACTCTCAAAAGATCGAAGAAGAGTGCGACTTTAGGATAGAAGCCATAAATCGAGAGAGAAAAGAACGACAGCTTGCAGTAAGACAACGAGGAAAGGAGACAATAGAAAGTGAGCGTAACAGACCGGAAAAAATGCAAGAACTAGAACAAAGAGAAAGAGAGGCCTGCAGTGGACTTGAGAGGGAAGAGAGAGAAAAGGCACAGAAAGAAAAGGAATCCATAACAACTGATTTTGCCGAAAGAGAAGCGCTGGCCATGGCAGCACTACAAAACGATTCAGTTCAGAAATTAGAGTCAACGAGGAATCTACTGGAGGAAAATAATCAGAAGAAACTGGAGGACTGCATCGCCGAGATCGAGCGGGAAGTGGAGGCAAGGATCAAATCCGCAAAGACCGCAAAAGCAGGTGAAAAGCGCAAGTTCGCAGAGCATCGCAGAAGTTTGCTCGAGAAGGAAGTGTCCGAGGACACCTCAATACAAACGGCAGAACCAGCTGCTCCACAAGCACAGCAGACACAATCGTCCAAAACCAGACGAGACTCGGCCATGAAACAACAACAACAACAGCAGCAGCCGGATGCGTCACCGGCGGCCGAATCCAGTTCCGCTCGGGATCAAGAGGAAGAAGAGAGCGATCCGGAGCAGCAGCAGCCCAAACGAACCCTCATCGAAGAAGAACTGCTGCTGCAAGAGGCGATGAAATCCGTGCTGGGCACAACGGACGCCGAGCAGAAGAAATCGAAGGCCAAGGGCAAGCGAGTTCTGTTCGAGGATCCCGTGGCCAGCGAGGAAGAGGAAGCGGGCGAAGGGAGCGACGACGGGAGCTCGTGCGTCCGAGACGGTGGCCACGCGTGCGCGCTGATGATGGAGTCGCTCTTCCAGACCATCAAGGCCTCGACGGAACGGCCCCGCGGCCGATCCTTCGCGCACCCGCGCCACTCCATCTTTCAGCGGTTGAAGGGCGTCTGAGTCGGCCGCCTCCCGTCTCGCTCCCGGCGGGAGCCGACGGAGTGCCGCATTCGCACCCGGCGGGAGTCGTCGAGTGCGCGATGCTTTCGTTGTCTTGTTTCGCTTCACGGCGGGAGCTTCTTGTCGCGTTGTGGATCTCGGCGGTAGGCCTTTAGAGGGGGTTCGGCGGGAGTGATTGAGATTCCACGCTCCACTTCTGCTCCCAGGTATGAGATAAGATGCTTTGTTTTGACCTGCTTTTATTCTCTTCGAGATTAATAATTTTTAATCATATTACAAAAGATCTCAAAACGTTGTATTTATGCTCTGTGGCATGCATTGTTCTCAAAATGTTTGCTTCAATCTGCGATTGGTCTATCGATTTAACGACATCAGCTCAATTGGTGCCTATGGAAATAGATGTCTTGAGGCACCCACGCTCGGGGAATGTTGATATGCCTAAAGCTCTTGTCTGAAACTAAGTTCCATTGAGTTTCATGTGTCTACAATGTCTTTACCTCTTCCATCATGTCGTTTCATATCTACTTAGGTATCTATAAATATGTAGCATTTTCTTTGCACTTCACAAATGTATCACCATACGTATTTATTATTTGTAAAACTTGCACGGTTTAGTACGGTCATAACCATCACATACAAAAATTAATTAAACTCGAGCCATATCCGCTGTATCATGAAAACTCCAGGATTCGCTCTTCTAGTATTCACGATATCCACACTCTTAAGGGTTCAAAGGGTGCACTACAAGTAACACTCGTGTAATCTATATCAATTGAGCCATTTTACTCTAAAATGTGTTTGTTGATCTGAATGCAAACTACGCTAGTTGCACTACCGAGACTAACTTACGAATCAACTATGCATTCTCAAATTACAAAAAACTCTACGCAAGCATTTATACATTCGATTAATTCTTTCTGTTATTATGATTTATAATGTCAACGTTATTTCATGTGACTTTGAAACTAGGTTTATCTTAAAAGTCAATGCTTTCCGATTCATAATACTGGGCATTACATACTCACGTTGGATGTGTAAGACCTTGTTCAAACTACTGTAATATGCCTTTTTTTCCTCACTTTAATGTTATATAATTGAAAATATATATTAATATTGAGCTCAAATACAATTAAAGAGTGAGAGTTTTACATTCAAGGGTAAGTTTTAAAAATATAGAAAAAATTAGCAAAGATATTTTGAGAATAAATAAATCATTGATTTTTTGTAAACAGGATAAAATATATTAAATTTTAATTATTGAAATCTATTCAAATTAAAATTTAAAAATTAATTCTTAAATTTTTTTAAACATTATTCTGATATTTTAAAAATAATTTTAAACATTTTTTGCTCAAGCTTCGTTTAAAAATCAGTGACACGAATTTTTTCAAAATAATTTTATTTTCAACATCAAATTGCAATGACATATTATCAAATTTAAATAGATTTTTAATAATTTTCCAACAACTATTCCATCAAAATTATCATTAAAATATATTTATAATTTAAGTGATAAACCAAAAATTCGGTATTTTTTTAATACGTATTTTTTACTTTGATTTTGATAGGCTTTGAAATTTACATCAAATTTTGAAATTAATATTTTTTTATGTGAGAAAAATTCGTAAAAATAGATCATGAAAATTAAAGAGATCATTCTCTTTTAAAATTTAATTTAAGATTATTTTATGTGTTCAAATTTATTGATGTCAATTAATTTTGTTTCAATTCAATAAGAAATTTCTGATTTCAAGTCTCTGATTTGTTTCCAACTGATTTTGTGTATTTTTATTATTTCATACTTATATTATATATACATATATCTTTATATATCTATTTATTTATTTATTAAAAAAATTAGAAAGTAAAATTTGAATTTTTCATATTCTTGGAAAATTATCACCATCATGTAGTTTTGACTTCATCTGCAATTAAATCAAGACATATGTTTTTGCATTATTTTTTTTATTAAATGAGCATCATATTTCTTTACTGCAATTTTCTAAAATTTTAATAAAATTATCTTCCGATTTATACTTTAAAAACATCGTGTATAACATTGATAAGGATATCAAATATGCATGTAAATTATTGCTTTAGGCATTTCAAAATATTTTTGCATTTTGTAGCCTACACAACATCTAATAAAGGGTGGCGGCTTGTTATCCCTCACCCTAATATATGGACGTCACTCATTGGTTCACTCAGCTTATAGGGTCTGTGCAGTGCACAAAAAAAAACTTCACGAGTTTCCCGTCTTTCTAATCTACTGTTTCTTTTCCCAAAATCTAGAGCATATTTGTACCTAGCATTTTATAGTTTCACATGCCCTACATTGCCATCCTCCATGAAACCCGATCGACTCCCAAGTTCATTAGACATCAATCACCTCCAATGTGTGCCCAGCCTGAGACTCAAACAATAATTGATACTCGAGTATAAGCCAGCCAACTTTATGAAACCAGCATCTTGGTCGACTGAACCAGTAGCTCGATCAAAAGCAGCACGAAGTACAACGAAGTTATCACACGAAAGAAGGAAGCTACTTGGGGTAATTTTACAAGCTCGGATGGCAGAACTCACTAGTTTGAATGTTGTAGAGTGAAAGGTTAGCTGTTAAGTGCCACTGCGATTTTGGTCTTACCATAAACATATGACCTTTGACGGGCCCTCAGTCACCTCACTTACATTAACTAATACAGCGGTATGTATGAGGGCAGTTTGGAAAGGACTAACAATTATATTTTTCACCCCACTGATACTACAACCCGAGTGAACCAATGAGTGAAGTCCGTACAATAGGGTGAGATCCAATTAGCCCCAAGTGAGGGACAACTACCTCTCCCCTAATAAATGAGAATATGTCAAAAAATTAATACAAGACAGAAACAATATCATGAAGCCAATCCTAGAAAACTAAGTATCTCTATATGAGGTGTGATATACAAGCATAATAGATACTACAATGTAAAACGTAAAACTGTACGAGATATAACTAAGATTGTGATTATATTATTTTTTTGAATCAAATGTGAAGGATTAGATAATGCAAAATCAAACCCATTTTTTAAATATAGTGATTAACTTCTATTTCAGGTAAAATGCATCTAACGTCGTCAATGTACATGACTACATAGTGGGTGATACAAATTTATGATGGTTAGCTTGATTTAGGAGCTATTTCTTTTGAAGGTATAAGTGATCTTTAATCTCAATAAATCTTTGTATGAACATTCATTAAATTTTCAATGAAAGTGTGTAAGGTATGTGAATTTATGACATGTTCTATTTACCAAAATGTGTGACTTTAGATTAAATATTTTAAAAACCAGAAAATGAAATACAGATTTCTATCCCGCAGTATCTGTTTTTTTTCTTCAGGCCTTGCCAATCAATTTTCTAAATTTCCTAAACTCCAACTCAAAATGCATCAAGTTAAACGTAGAAATCTCTCTCATTTTTAAAATATAAGTTATTAATTTTTGCAGATTAAAATATTTAGGTTATTTCAGAAGAAGAAAGATATTTCAGAGATCACTTTTAGCTAGAAAGTTATGACTATCAGCTGTACCAGTTTACGAACAAGTCATTTAAATTATGTTAATCTTGAAAGTGTTGTTGGGAAATCGAAATACCACAAATGTCACAGAGAGCAAGAAAGAGAAAGTGAAAGCAAGAAGTGTGAACCAAAACCTGAAAGAAACAAGAAATTCCCAAGGGTTGAACTCGCGGGTGGTGACGTGGACCATCGACAGAGCACATCATCGACATGTCAGCGTCTGCAGCAGAGTTCAGATTCATGAAACGAGGAGAGTGAAGTCCAAGCGAAATAAAAGTGAAAGTCGAGGCCAGATATGATGAAGGCCACGGAGCAGGCAGCGCCGATCATGAGACGGCATGTTCATCAAGCCCAAGTGTCGAGTGTCAAACGCGACGATTGTAATTACACAGTGGCGAAGAAAGTTCGCTCGCGCCCCATGCCCACTCTTCTCATTACAGGCGGAGCCCGAGTAATGTCCAGCTCGCGCAAGTTGACAACATCTCAGAAAAAGCTCGTCCTCGTTGCACCCCATGGCGAAAGCAGGTTTGTCCTGCTGCGCGCTTTTGTCGACTTTTCCCCGATTCCCCGTCCGAGTCACCCCGCCATCTGATTAGCAGGAAAGATTCAAATCAGTGCCGCAAAACGACACCGCCTTCTACCAACCGCACAAGAGAACCATCACAATGAGACGGACGTGTGTCACGGGCCTCAAGCGGAGATGGCTCTCCGGCCGGATCCCGGATTCCGGTCGGCCGCTAACAAAAGTAAGGAGATCGGGCGCAGCGTAGCGAGGGAGGACATCAGTGGGCGATGCGATGGAGGCGGATAGAGCGAGCGTCGCCAGCTTTGGAGGTACTCGCGAGGGACCGGTCCTCCGCGCTTTGATGGCAGCCGGCAGTAGCGATCCGGCTGGATTGGCCCCGGTCGTGAATTGTCGCCTACTCATGACCATCGATCAACCTTCGCCGCTGAAGTTCCACCGGGGCGTGCCTCGCCTGCGACACCTCGGTCCGTGTCATCAATCCGTCCGATGACCCGACCGTCCGTCATCAATCTCCCTCCGGGCGCCTTGCTCCCCGGGCGGAGATGTCCGTCCGTCAGGAGGCCATCACACGTCGCTGTCGCCGTCGCAAGTGGAATGCCACGTCATAACGAGCGCCTCGTCGAGCCCCATGTCCGGCGGGACGTGGCAGCGCTCGATTCCCCGGCCTCACTCCCCTCGCAGATTCCCTCCGTTCGATTTCGCCACGTGGCAGTGGAAAGGCCTCGGCAAACTGACCTTTTCCTGGGGCGGAGGAAGTCCGCCGGTGCACATTCTCTCTCGGAGTCCCTCGCCCCGGGTCGGAGACCCGCAGCTCCGGAGGATCACTTGGACGAACTCGGTCCGTGGATTGGAAGCCATCGACGGTGTCCTCGAGCGATCGTGCCATTTGTCCCAGCTCCACGGAGAGAACAACGCCCCGTCGGGCGAGGTAGAGAGAACCGGGGCCCGGATTACGTCCGCCATGAACAACGGGTATTCGAGACGCTAACGAGAGGGAGCGGAGTAACTCAACCGTCGATGGATTGCGGCAATACGTCCGGTCCCGAATCAGTCGAAACTTGATGGGAAAGCAAGTTCTCGGCGCCCGCGGCCCCAAAGCATTACGTCGTCCTCCGGCCGCGGGTTCACGGCGTGTTTAGCGCGGCTAACACGAAGGCTCCGGCGCGCGGTAGCCGTCGATGGAGGGGATCCACGGGCGGAGGCGACCGCGGAGGGAGCGCTAAGCCGGGGCCCGGCCGTACCTGGGACTCGCAGGCCGGGCCAGGGACCACGCCCCTTCCCGTCAGTGGGGCTTGTGTCTGTCTGCCCAGGCCTGCCCGCTCTTGGCCGCATCGCGCACTCTGTCGCCGGGTGCATGTTTCGTCGTCGTATGTTCGATGGGTGTTGGGTGAATCTTTGGACATAAATTGCGATGGATTGGGCTCGGATCGGCCCTGTTTCTGATTCTGTTGAATGGATCGGGGGTCGCATCGCGTCGATGCTCAAGTTTCTTGGTAAATCGGAGCATAATTGAGCATCGGGCGGTGGGAGAAAGGATGGAGCGCGCGCGGATTCTGCATTTGTGACGAGACCGAGGGGCGGAGGCAGGCTGCTTTCTGAGTGAGTACACCGTCGCTGCGTGAGTGAGGGAGCGAGGGAGGATCGGGCGAGGAGTGCCGGGAGAGGAAAGTGAAGATGAGAAGCAATTGGCTGCTTTTTAAAGACTCTCGGCAGAGGCGAGAGTCTTGATGAATTGTCGTACGAGAAGGAAGGGTTTGAGGTAGGTAGAGCTGAGGAGCGTGTGGATTGAGTTTGATCTGGCGATTGTAGCTCATTGCGATCAATCGTCGGTCGTGGGTCCTGTCGTGCCGAGCGGATTGTGATTCTGGTCTCGTTGGTGGTTTGATTGCCAGGGTGTTTAGAGTGGAGGTGAAAACGCTCTCGAATTGGAGAGACTTCGACTTTGCGCCAGGGTGCAGGGAAGCTGGAGAAACACATCCGAGCTCGAGATTTATGCTAGGGATTATCCACTTATCGAATTAGGTGATCAAAAGGAGCGGACTTCTGTGGACAAATCTGCTGATGAACTACTGTCTCTCCATGAACATCATTAACCTTCTCCTGAGCTTCGTTCATCGTCAGCTGAGGTTTGTCGTTGATTGGATAGCGTTAAGGTTGTCTGCTGCGAATGGCTTTGATGTGACTCTTGTCGGAGTACTCCTAGTGATTTCTCTACTCGTCGCCTCGCTTACGTACTCACTGTTCCTATGGCAAAAGAGAGTTTCCTTTTACATGCTCAAAAAAGCGGCTCAGGTCAAGCGCAGCGCATTTGTTCAGAAAAGAGGTCGGGATGTGCCACATTCATGGCAGCAAGAATCAGGCCACAAAGGTGGCCCATCCACATGCTGCGTGTGCCTCAAGACGCTGGCCCCGCCTCCGCTTGGATCCGTGGCAGCGTCCCTAGTCTCGTTCCATCGCTGTGTGAGTTGTGGCGTGGCAGCCCATTCGAATTGCTCCAAACTTGCAACGAACGACTGTAAGTTTGTGTGCATGACCGGGGCTCATGTGCTGCATCAGTGGGTGGAAGGGTGGAATGATATGGAAGATATACCCGATGACCCCGCCTCGTGTATGTACTGTGATGAGCCTTGCAATGGGTCTTTTCTCGCATCTCGGGCTCCCCTGTGGCGATGCATCTGGTGCCAGCGGCTGGTTCATGTGCAGTGTCATGAAAAAGTCACTCATGACGGCCATGACGTTTGTGATTTGGGGCCATATAAACGCCTCGTCCTCTCACCCTTGGTAGTGAGGGACGTCGGGAGAATAACCGCTGGTGGACTTCTGCACCAAATCACGTTGGGCGCCAACGAGTTTGGATACGCTATGCGTCAGGGTATCAAGAGGAGGGGTCGCAGGAGGAAAAAAAACGGCAGCGATAATTACAACAACAGTCAGAGCGGCACACCAGAGCCTCAGAGTCAGCAGGGAAGCAGTCGTGATTACGGAAATTCCAAGTACATTGTGGCAGAATTACCAGAGGATGCAAGACCCTTGCTCGTCTTTATCAATCGGAAGAGTGGGGCACAGCATGGTGCTGCTCTCAAGAGGCGTTTCAATGTGCTTCTGAACCCACTGCAGGTATGCACGTTATGATCGCATTTGTTACCTGTATCCTACCTGCTTGAACCCGGCCATGTGGGCTGAATCTTTTACTTTGTTCTGGTCTGTAACTCGAATAGATGTGTGCGCCCTTTGCCCAGAGTTCACTGTTTATCTCTTGAAGCCACAACCCTGTTCATCTACGTGCAACATGAAGTATCACTTAAGATGTAAACATGGTGTCAAGTTTGTGGTAGCTTTTAGTATTGTGAAGAGAATCCAGCTAAGTTTGTTAAGCCTCGACTGTAGAGACGGCATATGATAGTAGCACTTACTGTGCATTGGATTGCAACGACAGGTATTTGAACTGAGTACCGATAATCCTCCGGAGAAAGGGCTCTCGATGTTCGAATCGGTGCCTCACTTCAGGATTCTTGTTTGCGGAGGAGATGGTTCCGTTGGATGGGTATTGAACGAGATTGACAAACGCAATTACGCATCCCCTCCACCAGTTGCCATATTACCTATTGGAACAGGAAATGACCTCGCAAGAGTTCTAGGATGGGGAGGTGGTTATGGAGCTGTTGAAAGACAAGGTGGACTATCGATGATTCTTCACCATATTGATCACGCGGCAGTCACCATGCTTGATCGGTGGCGTGTTACTATTACAGAAACAAAGGATGGAGCAGAGTCAAGCGTGACAACGAAATATATAAATAATTACCTAGGTTTGCCTCGATCATCTTTTTTTGATGCTGATTTGAAATACGTTGATCTAGACGGAGAAAGATTTGGTCAAATATTGAGCTTTTCTTTAACGTAGAAAACGTGTGGCAATCGGAAGCGTGAATCATATTCTTCAAACTGTGTTAGCTTTTATGGTTTGTTCCTGGCTTTGCACGTGTTAGGGGTTCCAGGCCGCAGGCGGTAACGTCTAATTAGCATTAAATGCGTAGTGGGTCAACACTTGCGCATACTGATTTGGTTTTGCACACACTCTTCTGACTACTATCTTTCTGTTCTTCCACACACGTATTTACTTTTCGTAATCCATCGTTTTCCTTACAACCGATTCTGGTTCCTTGAGTTATTCTTAATAGGTTTAAAATAGGTCATATTCTTGTGCACTTTCGAAATTTTGTCCTTTTGGGTTGGGGGTTACGGCTACAAATGTCTGCACTTTGGATACAAGGTTGAAACATCTTGATCATGTTACAGTGTGTGTATTGTGCTTCTATACTTCTCCAATGTCCCCATATCCTTGTGGGCTGACAAAAGTTTGTTGTTGTTCGTTTATAACCTTTCAATTATAGGACAGACTTGATTCACGTCCCTGTATGTCATTTGATAGAGTAGTATTATACGGTAGTTCTGGGTAAAATTATCACCTTTTTTCTTTCCTCTTGCTCCGAATTGGCAATATTCATACATCTAGGATTTCATGACGATCATGATCATCAGCCTTTCATATCTATGATCGTTTGCGTTCAGTTTCTTGTGTGTGTGGGGATATGTTGATTTTGACTACTTAGATGACAGAAGGAACAGTGTACTCGTCTGTTTGCTGATCTACAGGAATTGGATGTGATGCAAAGGTGGCTTTGGAAATTCACACGCTCAGAGAGGAAAGTCCAGAGAGATTCTACAACCAGGTATTCTTCCTCATCTTATCTGACTTCCTTATCGTATACATCGGATTTCGCTTGAAAACGTGATTTATTGAGCCTGTCCCTTCTTTGGGAGCAATCAACGTTTTCCTTTTCGTTGTAAATTCATACGTTTTTGGTTCACCTTCACTAACCAGACTTGCGTTCACACCCATATGCAAGTCGGGGGTGACTTCTTGAATTGGATGTATTGACCATTCTTATGCCGAATTCCGTTGAAATAACGTAGTCAGTTTTATGGGTGAATAGTGAATAGTTCAGTTTGTACTTGCTAGTCTTTATCCTTTACTGTTCGCATATAAAGAGATAGTTTTGTTTTTTGAACAATATCCGCAAGTGCTTGAAAATAACTTTTTTATTTCTCGCGCAAACTAGCTCTTGGGATCTATGTTCTTCAGGCTAGACAGTCAAAATGCTAATGACTGCTGTGTTGTTGGCTCAGTTCGTGAACAAAATGCTCTATGCGAGGGAAGGTGCTAAGGATATTCTGGATAGAACTTGCGCTTATTTGCCTTGGCAAGTTCGATTTGAAATTGATGGGACGGAAATCGAGATTCCTGAGGTAAACCATTTTGGATCCTTGACTATGGTATTTCTAATTTTGGAAACGAAGTAGTTACTTCGGCATTGTATGTCATGATTGGCAGTTTATTAGGGTTTTTCATTGTCTTGACTTATAATACTTCGTCCGTAGATTAGAGGTTGTATTTGCCCTTGTCGTCTGTTGATTAACTACACGGTGATCTGATGCGGCTGTGTCATGCTTTGTCTCAAAATGGCAGGATATCGAAGGAGTCCTCATTACGAATATTGCAAGCTACATGGGTGGAGTCGACCTTTGGCAGAACGAAGAAGAACACGAGGATAATTTTGAAGCCCAATACATGCATGATAAGATGCTAGAGGTTGTTGGTATATGCGGAGCGTGGCATCTTGGAAAATTGCAGGTCAATATTCACTTTAACCCTCGACTCCTTAAATCTGCTTGCAACTTTCTGTCTCGCAAAAGACATTTATTCGCAGGGTACTAGTGGGCTTGTTTCTTACGTTATGAGTTTAAGTTCTGAATGCACGTCAGTCGCTGCTTTTGTTTGTCGGTCAGTTGTGCCTGTCCTTGGCCTTTGCAGAAAGTTATAAACTCAGATAATGCAATGTTTAAAAGGTGCTCGGTTACCGCTCCTGCGCGAGAGATCTGAGGAGGAATGTCGGGCTATGAGAATGTCCGTGGTGCAGTATGTTCAATGCTTCAGCATCTCTCATAGTTGAGTTTCAACAGTCATTCAGCGATTTAGTTTTTGTTTCCTTCGTTTGCAGGTTGGGCTGTCTCGAGCTCGAAGGTTAGGACAAGGTCGTTCCATCAAACTTTGGCTGTCATCCACCTTGCCCGTACAAATTGACGGAGAACCTTGGATACAATCACCAGGATGCTTTGAGGTTTCTCATCACGGACAGGTACATTGAACACAAATTTGAATGCCAGTGCCAGTTCAGTGTACTTATCTTATATTCTATTGAAAGCTTGTTGATTGCGTGATTACAAAGCTTTTCTTCGTGATCATTCAACCAGCTTTCAAAGATAGCACTAGAAATATTGTCAGTGTGGTTTTTTCTGGTCATGGGAAGATTGTGAGTTCTTGTGCATCATATGCTTCTATGTCCTTCACGCACATTGAATTTCTCACATACTTGTCACTTGATGCACACTCAGTTCCTTCAGTATCTTATATTTTCGTAGTTCCGTGGGTACCTGCTCCTTACTTGATGATAGTTATTATGGCACAGGCATTCATGTTGAAGCGAACAGCGGAAGAACCGTTAGGTCACGCTGCAGCGATCATGGTAGATGTGCTAGAAAATGCTGAATGCAGGGGTGTAATCAATGCCGTGCAAAAAAGAGCTTTGCTTCAAGAAATGGCCGTTCGTCTATCATGACTTTCTGGTCGTCAATTCGTCAGTGGTCCTCTGCACCACAGATTGTTCTGTTCTCTCATTCGAGTAGCCATGTGTAATATAGCGTATGAAGATGAATTTCTCTCAGATAAATCTTCATGTAGTTAGATGGAAGCCAGAAGGTACTTGTAGTAACGTGATATAGGTTAGGCTTTACAAAGGCTATTGAGTAGGTATGAGCCTAAATTTTGCCCAGTGTAAATAGCTTGTTTCATTCACTTCAATTCTGTGGGGACTCGTTCTTTGATTCAAGGGGAGATTGATCCCCACGAGATTTTCTCATCATTGAGGAGAGTTTTTTGTGGGTCACCTGAATATCGAAGGAAAAAGTTTGACCGATCACAAGAGGTGGTGTATTCTTGTTATAACGCAATATTTGGATGATTTTTGGTAACTACATTTCTTCTTGATTTATGTGCATGCTTTTACCTCGGACATGAGGGCTGAAATTTAGTGAAATGGCCTGTGGTATTTCTTTTGAATAACGACAAATGGTTGGTTATCCCTTTGTCACGTCACTGACCATTATTTTATCCACGATAAGGTGAAGTATGCCACAGGTGAGAAGTCCTGAAAAGGTCGTTAGATTGAGAAGTAGCCAACACAGTTCAATCGGATATGCGCGGGACCGGCTTTTGGCCCGGCTTGGCCCTCAAGTTTGATAACATTCGTTACCAGTTTCTGGTGTATACTTGCTTCATCACTTTGGTTCGGTTGTTTGTTTGTGTACAGTACATTTTATACTAACGTGCACATCACGCTGAATTTTCTGGCCCCACTTGCATTCGGATGTTTCCATGTACTTGGGGCACATCTACTGTTCGCAACACAAGGAAAATCGAGAACCATATCCGCATGAGAGCAAAAGGAATCTGGCTGAATCCAATTCAGGAATATACGCCCGAGGCTAAACAAAAGACCTCAAGTGAAAAAGAGTATGTAATTTACTCGTGAAAATTTGTGATGTCTGTGAATACTTATATCTTGTTCGACTCGAATTCCAACCATATTACATTTTTAAATATTCACATTATTCACATTAAATATTCATATATATATATATATATATATATATATAGTTCCGTTCACGCCAGTGATGAGACACACATCATTGCGTATGTTGGTGAATATAGTGTTTGTCCGGTTTCATTAGCTTGTTATTATGAATAGATTATTTCGTGTTCTTGACCGAGGTTGAAGACATTTATAGTATTGTACAGCAAATCATCAGAATTACCCAAGTCACTTTAGAACTTGAGTAACACCAGTATACAAAGGAGTGAGTGGTTAGTTATCTTTCAGTTTGGGCTAATTGTCCCTCACACTTACTATATTATATAAAACAGAGTTCTGTGATTAATCAGAGCTATCCCACAGCTTTAGTGTGATATAACCTTCATGGGGCACATGGAAAGTGGAAAAATAATGTACATTAGACTAGGGTGAAGAATAATTAACCCAAACCTAGTGATAACTAGCCTCTCCCCCCTTATACACTTATAAAAATAACATAATTATATTAAACTGACTATTTCTCACAGGAACTGGTGTAAAAACTTATCAACTTTCATGTGTTAAAGGGGCTGCTCCAGAGAACGCAAGATTTTGTTCAGGTTAGAACGAAAGAGCTTCTTTGTCCTTGTAAGTCGGTGTTTGAGATTCCACTTCCTGTTTAATCTTTAATTATTCTGGATAAATCTTCCATTCCATATTATACAAACGTACTTTGCGAGTGGAATTCTCGAAATCAAGTACATTGCAAAATTTGTGCAAGAAACAAAGATTCATCTAATGATTATTATAAATATGGTCTTTCTCCTTTCAGTATACAATGTGTATATGACGGAGAGATCCGTATAAATTACATTTTACATGTACAATGTACAACACACCTCTTCAAGAGTTTACGTGGCAAATTGGATGCCTCTTGAGCAACATCATGTGGAAAGAAATAACACATTATTATTAACCTCAAACTTGATACAGAAAACTTGGTGATTGAAGTTTGAGAACTGTAAGAATAAATTGATATAAAGACTCACAACAGAGAACAACGATGGAATTGTAAATTTTTAAACATCATACTTGATGATGTTTGAAAGCAATTAATCATGTTTAATAATCTGTAATTACTATAGACTAGAGTGTTCATTTGGCGACATATTTAATTAGATAAGACAAAACACTAAGTTGATGTAGTGCACTTAGCCTTGAACTCATGAGTTGACCTTGAGGTAGACATTTACATCACGAGACACTGTCATCAAGCAGTTGAGATTGATTATTTGTACTAGAGTGCAATTTTTAGATATATTATTATAAATGTTAGTCAGTGCATAAAGCATGGATTCTTTGAATCTCAAAGTAAAGTTGGTTTGATGCTAATATATATTGCATGTTAGTACAGGAGTATCGGTGTGAATGAAAACAATCGTTTCAAAAATGGAATAATTTTTATCGAAAAATTTTAAATAAACAGATGTGATAAACTTATACTTTTGAAAATCCATATTTACTTACGAGTTTGATAAATGACAGCTTCATGTATTTTGTATCGAGTGTATATAGCACTATTTGAAATAAAGTTTATGCTATCAGTACCAAAGTACTGAAAGTACGAAGTATCTACTATCAGTTTTGAATTGAGTACCTTCTTTTCTTTATTGAAAACTTGGTGAGTGAAGGCAATATTAAAAATTGATAAATCTAATTACCTCAAGACATCTTAATCATTAGAGTGAAATTGGAAGATTGATATAAGAAGAAAATAATTTCAAATGAAAGTAACAAAGTTTCTTTTTCAAATTATAAAATTCTATATAAAATCATAAATCAGATTGTATCAGATTGTATCATTATATAACTTCATTATCATCTAGCTTTACTAGATTAGGATTGGAATTTTCTGCACATGTTTTAAAAAAACCTAGATAAGATCTACTATGTAAGCTACTAACATAATCAATCTTGGCATTAAAAAATTTAAAATTCTCACAAATATTACATAATTTTTATGTAATTGTATTACGGGCAAACCTTTTACAACCATATTAGTAAATTGTATAGTACATCTCAATAGAGGAAAAAATCAGGACAATGATACTATGTGTAGCGAAATATTTTACTTATGTCTGAAAAACCTAAATTGTTGAGATAGATGTTTAAATAAACCTATCTCACGTTTTTCCATTCTTGCGATTTTCAATTGCGATCATGATAGTAATCGTATCTCCCAAATTATATTTGGAATTGTGATTATTGAATAATATCAAGTTATTATTAGAAACATTTGCTAGTTACAATCTAATAATCATTAAAGGGAGGATGTCAATCATTCGACATGGCACTATTGGGAGAATAAACTCTGATTGCACTCGAGAGTAGAGGGATGAAAGTCGAGATTAGTCAATTTGTGGGAGAGAGTACACACTTAGTGGCAGCTCTAAGTGGTGTCCGGAACGAAGATCGCATCTGAAGCCATTGCCATCTGTAAGTATATTCATCCCGAAGATCGTGATCTTAGGCCCAGACACTGCTCGCACGCAGCATCCGGACTCTGGGATCTGGACGTGGCATGGCCTTCCTAGCACCACCGAAATGGTCCGAAACAGAACTGCAAGGCCAGAGCCTCGTAGTGTAACCATGTCATAGAGCTGTGGCCTGGCCTGGCCTGGCCTGGAACCCAAGATTCCGTAGAGTAGTGGACACTGGAGTCTGTTTGGATCTCTTTCTTTCGAGCGTGCAAAACCTCATGGCAAACACAAACCTCACGCACACATCGTGAAGACTGAGCCCCTCAAATTCCAAATCCGTGGTGTTTATTCAAGAGACCTTGAACCATGACATGGCCTGGGACAAGATTGATGAAAGTGTCCAGTTTCTCGAGGCTGAATTCGGGTACACATTCTCGGGCAAGGGAGAGGGAGAGGGAGAGGGGCTCGGTGGTGAAATGGAATCGGCGACGTCTCCAGATGTGCTCGTACTTTTGGTCCTCCTTCCTCGATTCCGCTCTGCCTCATCTCCCTTGAGTACACTAGCGGACCGAATCCTCGAAGGCTTCGAGTCTTTCCAGACTCGAGGATCGCCGTGCGTTCTGGCGGCAGCCAAAGCTGTGGCGGACACATTGACTTCCTGATCATCTCCCAACGCTTCGAGAATAACTCCTGACCCGAGGCACACATCACCCTGATAAAATGCAGCATACTGTCCGGGAGCGATTCCTTGATCGTCTTCAGCTAGCAGCACCGTCGCTGTTTGAGAATTCATAGGAAGGGAAGTGGATTCTTGGGAGCCATCGAACTGGAAACTACAACCATACATTTTGGGACCATGTCGAACCTTGCAGCGCATCCCTGTCAGAGCAGAGGGAGGGTGCCCCGAGATCCAATTCAGAGCGCCGACTCGGAACGAGCGCCTTTTCTTGTCGCTGAAGTACTTCCTGGAGATGAACAGCACATTGTGCTGCACATCTTTGGCGACCACGAACCAGGGTCCGTTCGAGAGGCGCAGGCCTTGCCGCTGTCCGATGGTGTAGAACCAGAATCCTGTGTGCGTACCTAAAACCTCGCCGGTCTCAGCTTCCAGCATCAGCCCTTCCTTCTCGCCGAGATGCCTTTCGATGAACTCGCGGAATTTCACCTTCCCGAGAAAGCAAATGCCCTGAGAATCCTTGCGCTGTTTGTTCGACAGGCCCATGGCCTCTGCAACCTGCCGCACTTCCGACTTGGCCAGCCCTCCGATGGGGAACATGAGGCGAGACATTTGCTCTTGTGTAAGCTGGGACAGGAAGTAGGTCTGATCCTTGACCTCGTCGGGAGATAAGCAGAGCTGGGCAATTCGGTGCTCGCTGTTGTTATTATTGTTAGTAGAGCCGGGAACTCTCTCCACCCGAGCATAGTGCCCTGACGCGATCCGGTCGAATGAGGAATCTTTAATGTGCTCGAGAAAATCTCCGAATTTGATCTTCGAGTTACACAGCATGTCGGGATTAGGGGTTCTTCCGGCTCGAATTTCCGCGAGGCTTTCCGACACCACCTTGGCCCAGTACTCGTCGGTCAGGTGCACGACTTTGAGCTCGACGCCCGCATCGCTACAAACGCTCTGCGCGAAGCTCAAGTCTTCCTCCCAGGGACAGGCGGACCAGAAATTCTCGAAGTCCTCCTGGAACCAAATTTTCAGATAATACGCAGTGCACGAGTGACCGGCATCGCAGAGCAGGCGCAGCGCCACGCTGCTATCCACTCCACCGCTCACCAACACGGCGACCCGCAATGCTTTCCCAACCTCGCAGCTCCTCCGCAACCTCGCATCGCTATTCCAATCCACGCACGACTCCCCGCTTCCATCCGCTCGGTACGACGACAAGTCCACAGCTCGCGCATTTCCAATTACGTCGAGCCCGCCTTGCTTCAAAGGCCCTCTCGCTCGAGCACCTGATTCCACTCCGACCTCCGCCTTGGCCTGAGCACGAACGAGTCCGAGCACGTCCTGCTTTTGCTTCCGCTTCTGCGTCTTCGGGCAGCGCCGCAGCGAAACGAATGCTGGCGAGGTTTCTTCCGAATCCGCGAGTCCGAATTGGCGCAGAGGCAGAGGCCGAGCGAGCCCTGCACCTGCACAGACGAACGCGCACATTTTGCGCCGCACTGATTACGATGCGATGTGAGCAATTGCAGTTTACTCCTCCATGGTCGACGAAGCGAATCGCTCTGCTGCTCTGCGTGCGATGTGCGCGGCGATGTCTGAGCTCGCACCAACGAAAGCCCGGCCTTCGGGAAATTGCCGTCCGGTCCAAAGGAACCGAAACATCGAACTCTATCCTCTGTTCGATCCGTCTTGTTGTCCTCGTCATTTCGCGACATGTAGTGAATGATACGGTGCGAGCTTTTTCATCTCGTTTATTTTGTCTCAAAATTATAATTTTTTTTAAAAAATATATCTTCAATATGCAGTTAAACATGTAATGTATTGAAATATTAATAAATTATTATTATTTGACGAAAATTTCTTTATTCATGGAATATATTAAATTTTTATTTATTCAAAACTGAATAATAATATGAAAATATCCCAATTTTTCTATAAAAAAAATTTTATCATAAAAAAATATTGGAGATTTAATTTCACTGTGAAAAACCGACAATTTGAGTAAAAAAAATCCAATTTTTTTAAATCAAAGAAATAGGATTATTTTTTATTCATTTACTTTTACATTTCATCATCTCACATGATTCAAAATATTAAAAATAATTTCATCTCATTTTGTATGTATCAAGCATGAATTTATGCATTAAGCAATCATGTGTTATAGATGGGCTTTGTAACATTTCTTTAAATATTTCTTTAAATGATGAAAAAAGATTCATCACTTTGTGTCATGAGTCAATTTGATTTTATATTTAATAAAATTTAATTATTTAAAAAAATTATGATTTTCATAATTTAACAATTTTGGAGTGACCAGCAAACAAAAAAATCCATATATTCATTATTATGGTGAATATAAATATTTTTATTGCGATGATATATATGGTGAATATCATACATATCAAGTTTTTATCATCAAAAGCTAAATCAATATCTATTCAACTCATTTCATATAAAATAATTATCATATACGAGTTTTAAAGTTATCACAAAGGGAAAAAATTTACTCATCATTTCTTCACAACTTGTAGCATTGAAATAGATTGATGTTAATGGAAGTTTTTAAAAAATTTGCATAAAAAATGAAATAACTAAAAAACAACTTGATTCAACAAATTCTCAAATAAATATACATCTAACTCATATTTGTTTTACACTTTCATGAAATCACACCAAATACACAAGCTCACGCACACACAATCATACACAAGGGAGCTTAAAATGATTTTATTGATAATATATCTAAAGTGTTCCTTTGTAGTGAATAATAAAATCTAAACACTAACTAGGGTTAAGCTAATTGAGTTAAAACATACTTGAATTAATATTAAAAAAATACTTAATTCATATAGTGGAGGACGTTATCTCGATAATCCTTAGAAATATTTTACAGAAAGTTTTAATAACAAACCTAACTAGATCTAGTATGTGGTCAAAACTTTACAACACAAAAATACATAGAAATAACAAAATTTGGTAATAAACTTGATTTTTGTTTCTCATGCTACTAAAACTATCCAAAGAATCAAACTTGAATGCATCATCTAGATTCAATTTTTTCTTAATTTTTATTAGTTCAATATTTTTATCTTAAATAACATATATGATGTGTATGTTGTTCATTCTTCTATTTATAACTTAATGTATAACAAGATGTAACACACTCTAACTATCACAATAAAAATTTATATCATTATAATTAATAATAATTTTCATTTTAATCATATATATATAACCTAAATGTTAAATTATTTATATTATAAAAATAATTTAAAATAAATTGGTTTTTAATTTTCAATAAGTTTCTGTCATATAATTGTATGTTATATATAATATTTATGTATTTTTATGTCAATTCATATGAATCTACAATAAATTTTTTTTAATTTTGAAATTTAAGACTAATTCAATCCAAATTAATCACACATTGAAATAGTTTTTTCAAACATTTAATTGACACTATTATTTTTATTGTTTGCATGATAAAACTAACATATCGAATTAAGTTTTTTAAATCAGTTTTATCAAAATATATTTATCAAACTTCATTTCATCCAAAATAAAAATATATCATAAAAAATGTATCAAATTGTAAAGAGATTTTGTTAATAAATAAGATTTTTAACAATGATTAATTTATGCGCTTTTTTATTATTTATAATTGATATTAAAAATTGACACCTAACATATTTAACAGATCCAAATTTTGTAAGTTAGAACTTGATTGAGTATTTATCTTTCTTAACTATATATAATCATAATAGTATTTATTATGCATGCAACACATGTTAATCAACTTTTTAAATAAACATTTAACACAAATAATATCATGAAGATTTTGTTTCAAATTGTTATTTTTTAATTTTTTTGGTGTTATTTCATTAAGCATATAACACATGATCATTTGAATTTTATAATTCTAAGCTATAAATTAACTCAATATTCTGTTAAAAAAAATGTTAGTCTTTATCATATGTATGTGGTGTGCAAGTTATTAGATTTGCTATATATCTTTTCATTACACATAAAATACTATTCATCTTGCTTAATCTAAAATTGATAGATTTGTACATCGTTATTGCTTCCTTATTTGGTTTGTTTTTTATTGAAAAATTAGTGTATTATAAATATATCAAATAATAAGACTTAAACTTATCATTTAGCAAAAGTAAATATGTTTTATCAGATTAAAAATATTTTAAAAAAATAATGAAAAAATATGTCCAAAAAAATTTGTTTTTTTGTTTATACTTAGGTATAATAGAATTATACAGATTTTTTATTATTTTTCATATGACATGTATTTTTTCATATAAACATATAATGACTTTTTTATGAATTTGTAAAATCTTGATGAATATTCGTTTGATAAAAATTATTTTCCTTGTAGAATCCTTGTACTATGTTATGAGAATATAAATGTTTAATTAATTTTGGATTACTTCATTGTGGTACATGGACATCATTCATAAAAAATTTTTATGGACAAAAATAATTTCTTGTTGATATTGGATTAACATCTAATATTTTTTTGCATTCATCAAACATCTTAAAAAATAAATTTAATTTTAAAACCATTAATGGATGGTTTTAAAATGGAGGATGTGAACTGCGAAAGATTTTACGAGGGAACAAATGTTTTACAAGAAAAATCCTTTCTAAATTATAGAGTAAGAGACAGATCCGTGATTTGCTAAAATTGTGACAAAGTTGAAAACCTCAAAAATAGTGTTGTGGCAAAACATATGGGACATCTTCACCTTATAGAAAAAATAATCATAGATTCTTAACGCAAATAATCACACGCATGACACAGCCGACACATATATACAGTCAACAAACGAAATTATTGTTTCACCTCGTTGATACTATACACAATACTGCTATACTGGAAAAACTAATTGTTTTACTTACAATTATTATCATCTCTTTCTTATGATGGTATGCTATATGGACACATTAAAGGGCTTCAGTCCATGAAGTTAGCAACATAGGGCTCGTGGCTGCTAACTACTTGGACCATCCTTCAAAATCTAGCAAGACTGTAATATACTTCTTCAAATCACAAGTTTTTGTCCAGATGAAAATAAACATAAAAAGTTACAATTGACGAATGATAAAATCTGACTACTTTTTTGCAATCGATATTCGATCCAATGGAAATTATTGTCTCTGTCAAAGATGTTGTTCTCAGGCTAATAGTTCCTCGCTTAGATAAATTTTAGTTATCATTTTGATACCTTCTAAGCACATCTTGGAAATTCTTTAGAGGTGATACAAAGATGAGATTACATGTACTACTTTGCTGCATCGTCATGTCAATTCTCAAAGGTACATATATGGAACTACCTTGAGATGGAGCTAAGGGGAAAAAAAATTGAAGACTTTCGGGAGTGAACTTATGAGGAGCTTGGAGTCAATTTCTGAAGGCCAAGAAATGGAGCCGGCTCGACGCAGAGTCAACAGAAGAACAAACTCCGCTGCAACCTATATATTTTATCTTTTAAATTCTCTCTTTGTGAACTTTTTGTCAAGAACCTGCTGCAACTTTCTGACTGAATAAATCCAATTTTATATATGATGTAACTTTTGAAGTTTATGATATGTCAAAAAAATTGATTTAAGTATTCATAATCAAGCATACTCTAACATAATATCTTCATTCGGCATTTGATGTGACCTCTTAAGAACATTCAAAAGTACTTCCAAAATATTGTTTGAAAATCAGTCCCTTGGCACCGCCACAAGCGGAGTGGATATGATTGCAGTAGGAAAAATTAAAGTTGGAGTTAGACTTTCATCACAAACACAACAATATCGCATATGCAAAAGTGCTTGTGACTATGATGAGTATTATTATGGAGTGCATTGCACGAATTGAACATATTTTAAACATCAGAACTCATATTGGATTTGATGGGTATGACTGATCTTTTATCAAAGAAAAATCTAATTGTTGTGGAATTCTGATTTTTAGAACTCTCAAATCAAATAACTTCAATGTCAATGATTTCTTGTAAATAAGCTTGTGAATGTATATGTTATAGATGTAATCAAAGATTTTAGTTTAATTCTTTTATTTATAATAAAAAAATAGTTATTAAGTCTACATTTGATAAGATGATGATAATTCTTGAAAAATTTCGTAATTGGAAATTTTCGTGTTTTATTTTACTAAACATTAAATACTTAATCATGAAAATATTTGACTACATGTTAGCATTTGATTGATTTTATTATGTAATATTATCTGGTTGTATTGACCAAATTTTTTTTATGGATTGATATATTGATAATTTGATTTGTTGAAAAATATATCTTTTTGGTTGTTAGATTTAAGTTTTGGTTCAATCTTATCACTCAGATTAGTTTTTCAACTTTAAATTCTAAGTGTTGTTATAAATCATTGAAATCATTTACTTATGCACTAACTGCAATATATTCAAAATTAATCTTAGTGATTATAAGTTAAATAGTAAAATTATTAAGTATCATGATATTTGATTTCAAGTTACGATTTATCATAGTGTCAATCACAAAGCTGCAAATATTTTGAGTTGAAATAACACTCTGAATTTGGAAAATAAGCTGTCTCAACTTAAATTAAAAATAGAAATTTTTCATATGATTTTGATCT